CTATTTCCATGCTTCACATTTCCTGAGTTGCCTTATCTTGTAGCTGTCTATTAAATGGATCCCATCATTCAGGTTTTCTCACCAGGAAGCCCAGGTGGGCCACCCTGCTCCCATTTCCACAAGCTGGTTTGTATGTTTGTTTGTTTCTCTCTCCCTCCTTCTTATCATGGGCATGTCTCTTAACCGAGTGTCGTCTTACAGAAAGGATATCTGATATTACAGCTACCCATGTGTGTCCTCTCCTGCACTGTGACACGGACAGCTAATGATAGCCTGGCTGTGCTGAGTTGTCTCTAAAGGCCATTCCATCCCTCTGCAGCAGTAAAGACGTCAAGGAGAAAAAAACCCTATAAACCAAACAGATAGAAAGAACACAGGCATCTTCAGCCTCACCTAGAACAGCCATTGTTTTCACTGAAAAAGGGACTCAAGATCATAATTTCTGATAACTGGAAGTAGTGTTCACTGAAAGAAACATGGCAATGACCTTGCTGTTAAATTTCACTACTACAGCTGCTACACAAAAACATGTGTTGGGTGTTGAAACATCATGCAACCAGCTTGGATATGAAAAGCTGTTGAGGTATTTTCCACTTGTTTGTCTGGGTTTATTTTGAGGACTAGAAAAAATAATCATTATAAGGCTTAGATTTTTAGGTAAATCAAGACACTTCATGAAAACCTGATATGCTGAAATGCATTGGATACAAAAAAAATTAATCAAGGGGCTGGGGTTTTTAAATTCATATGTGTGGCAATTAATTTTATATTTAATGGACCTGATTTGATTGCATCTCATGAATATTAAGAGTTGGGAAGAAACCAAATTTAACAGAATCTGTGATGCAACTCTTTATCTGTAGAACAGATTCCTATACAAAGTCAACTCCCACTCATATCAGCCACCATTTCTGAGAACAGGGGTAGTACTCTTTCTCCTTGGATGCTCATATCCCTTTGCTGGCAGTATCAGTCTAGGAGAAAGTGCTATGTGCAATCTCTCTCTCCTCACTTTTGTACATCAGCTGTGTTGCCACAATGGTGCATAAAATCCCTCTCATCTAGGACATGCCTTGTAAGTATATCCAGCAAATTCTTTATATGGATGCTATTTAGAGAATAGCTATTTTTTTATGGAGTTTCAACCTGAATTATAAATTTTCTCCTTGATACAAACACAGTGTAAAAAAAAAAAAAAAAATAGAGTTTTCAGTTTAAAGTTAGGGAGCAGGAAAATTTCAGGAACATGGAAATTTAAGTGCAGGTGCTTACGAGTAAAATTATCACCTACTTTGGGGGTATAAATGAAGTCATGGAAGCAAAACTATAGAAATGCTGTTGTAAATTTAAAAAGAAAAATTAAATATAGTATTTTTGTCTCCACTTTTCCTGTGGCATATTTGCTTTTTATGCATGCAGTATTCTAAATTTCATCTGCTGCTTTTACATTTAATATGTATTTTGTATTGCATAATATTTGAATAATGCTAGAAATTCAAGAAAGCTAAAACACTATTAAATGAGTGCCTGGGTTTATTTGCAGTGGTAGGTCTGTGAGCAATGCTCTATGGTTAATGTGCAATAGCAGCCACAGGACTGCAGCTATTGTATGTCACATTTAAATGTTCTAACACCAGGAGCTCTAGGAGGGCTTTGGCTGGGAGCTGTCTGCACCTGCCAGCACAGAAAGAATAAATACAGCAATTCAAAAGCCTTTACAGACTTAGGACTGCAGCACTGCTCAGTTAGGGCTGACACCTCCCAGAACAGAGCAACCACAAGATCATGGGAACATAAATCATAGTTTTCATTTATGTACAGTCATACAGCTGTAATTGCTTATTATAATTAGCATGCACAATGCAGTGGGCTTGTTCTGAAGACTAAAATCTTCTTTTATGATTCATTTTTTGGCAAAGGATGTTGCCTGTAGCCTGATATTTGGAGCAAGGCTGCCAGGGTGTAACACAGCTGAACTCAGTGTACAGAAAATCTGTTACAATTGATCCATTTCTATTGTTTTGATGTTTTTCCGGCTGGGTGGATACCATCAGAATCAAGTGACAGTGTCATAGGCTTAAAGCCCTTTGCAGTTCTGGAGTTCCCCAGTTCAGTTCTCAACAAAACTGCAGCTGAGTGCACTCCAGTTCATCAGGAGTGAAGTTAGGCTGCACATGGGCTCGTTGGTTATTGAAGATAACTGACCAATTATCCACATCCCTGTGGAGGGATGAAAGTGACACTGTCACTAAGCACACCCAGTAAAGCTGGGGTTTGAGAATGCCTGAAAGCTGTGCACTGCAGGACAAGGCCACTCACCCATTTGTCTCTTGGATTTGAGGGGGCTTTACAACCCCTCTTTGTGTTTTTCCCCTTTTGGTGGAAAAATCAGGAGACAAGGGATAAAACAGTCTTCAACTTATGGAAGATGCCATCAACTGAGGAGAAATGCAATAAATAACTTGTTAGTACTTCTCTAGCAGGTTTTATATTTTAACAGCAAAATTAAATCATCAGATTTGCTATTCCTTACAAAAATCCCTGACCATGCAATGCTAGTTGTTTTGTTGCTTTGTGCTGGAGTGTAATTTAAAAAAATTTAGAAATGAGTAAATCTAATTATGATTCCATATGTGAACAGAAATTTTTCTGTCAAAGATGCTAACACAAAACAAAAGGCTGCAATTCCTGATTTGGAAAGGTGTGAGATTGCTTTGTGGTTAAAAAAAAAATAATAATTAAGAAAGAAACAAAAAAAAAAATTAAAAAAAGCACAGAAAGAGTAGACACAAATAGGATTCAATAGCAATACTGCAGCTAGCACAAGAATCACTGAGGACTGGTTTCAATACAGAGAAAGCAGGACATTTTGAAACTGAAGTATAAAGGGGTCAGAGTTTGAAGGGAAAGCTCTCACATCCAATTCCCAAATATCCAAGCTATAATAAAAATATTTTGCAAGAAAAGAAAATTTGTTTTTTTAAACTTTATGCAAATGGAAGAGAAAAAGTCTCAAAATTATCATTATTTAATTCTGCATCTCAAATTATTCAACAAAATTGCACAGGCTGAATTAGGAGCTGAAGGTCAAAGATAGAGAGGAGACAGAGACTCACCTACTCATGTGCAGAACAGTCCCACCAAAGTAATCAGGCTTCAGGTTTTCCTAGAAAGGGTAATGATTTACAGAGCTATCAGAATTTCTAACAGACCTCTTAAGGTTACATTCAAAAATGTGCCTCTGATCTGATGATTTTGGAGTCCCAGCACTCAGTTACAATGCCTGTTTGTGTCCTCAGGAAGGCATGGAGAGACGTGCTATTTCTACACAGACTTCCCTACCAGTAACATAACAACTATAGCAATTTCTGATATTGAGCATGGAAACCAATATTTTCAATATCTTTTCTCTTCCCAAGAGGTTGATTATAAAAAAATTCGCCCAGAATAGGAGGACTAAAAAGAAATCCCTCAAGTCTTAGCTCTGTGGATGGGGCATGTGGGGTTTTATAGCAATGGTATCTTGGATGAGTAGGGGAAGCATGAGTTACAGAAGCACTACAAAACTTTAAAGAGGCCTGAACTGGGAATAAAGAGCCACTCCCAGAATTCCACACAGTGGTCTTCACTTCCTTATTTTGCTCCCCTGCTTTAAATTCAACTCTTGGACTCCAGTCTTTTCTGCACCAAGTTCTTTATGGCTCTGGTTCCTAACACCAGTTCCCAGGGTAGGCTTGGGGAACCTCACCTTCCAGCACTTTTAACACAAACCCATTCATCGTGTCTGTACCACTTTTTGGTTCCTGATTTAGCCTGTGAAGTCTTTGAGCCCAAACAGCCCATACCAGTACTAGCAGGTATGAGACAGAGCTCCACACTTCTGCCCAGAAGTTAGGGGAATGCCCAGAACAAGCTGGGTAATTACTTCTCCCTGGAGAATACCTTATGTTCTCAATATCAGGAATCCACCTGAAGGAAATTAAAGCTAATTAATTTTGCTCCTTTAGATATCTTGCTCCTTGAGAGCTTCACCCACAGGGAACTGACAAGTTCCAGATTTGTAGAGCCACAAGCAGATTAAGTTCTAGCAGGTGTTGAAACCAGAAAATAACAGCCTTACACTCATGAACACCATTTTTAAAACCCAGTATCTCTCAACTCCTCTCTTAAGGGCACCAAAAATACTTTGCCTTTAAGTTTAAAAATTAAATTAAAATTAATGCTTGTATTTCCATGACTAAAAGGTACTAAAAGGCAAGATGTAAATTTATCCACAAAACTCCTGTGCTGACAGTGGGAGGACTTCACTTGCACACCCTACATGGTCACATCCCTGAAGTCCACATGGGCCGTGTAATAGAGGATAAAAAGCTGAGCAGCCTTCCCCTGCCCACATGTACCTATCTCTTCCATGAGGTCTCATTATTTTATCCTTGACCTCCATCAAGAGCTCCTGCATCAGGAAAACCTCATTATGCTGGAAGCCATAGGCAGACACAAAAAGGATACCACAGGCAGACACAAAAAGCAGAGGAAAGCACTGCAAGTTTCTCCTCTAGAGAAAGCCCTTTAGGTTGAGAGCAGACTGTTACCACAATGAATCCTCCTCGGTGGATAAGCTAGAAGCTTGCCCAGTAACAACGTGTAAGGCTCCTCCTGAACAAGCAGAGAAATTGGCAAAAGCAGTCTCTTGAGTCTGATTAAGATGAAGATAAGTCTTCATGGTAAGCAGAACTTGATATATAGCAGCTGTCTGAGGAAGGAATCACACCCTATGGAGGTCATAGCTACCCCTAGGGCAAGGAAAGTGAGTAAGGTGGAAAGTGGCTGTAACAGGTATCAACACACCTGTGCAATTGTTTCACCTGGAGGCTCTTAACAAAGGAATTAATTTCAAGGACAAGTCATGTTTTCAATTAAAAAGAAATAAACATATCACAGAGAGTGCTGATTTTAACATTTATTTTTTTTTAATCTTCAGTTACCATTTTTTTCTGCAAACAGACTTTATTTAACAATAGTTCAAGAGGTATTATAATGCTTAAATGAAACATTTTGGCACAAGACAATAACAAAATAAACAGAATAAATAACCTGCTTTACATATACTGAAGAAAACAAAACCAACATGCAATAAACTTAATAAAATTCACACTCTGTACAACAGCTCAAGGTAAATAGTACTCATGTTCTATCAGTAACATACACATATTAGTAAAAATAAAAACTTTAACAACATGCTTAACTCAAGCAAAACAGTGATGCAATATGAATCAACTCAAGAGGTTCACAGGTTCCAAAGAAGCCAGAGTTGGAGGTGAGTGAGCACCTCAGCCAGGAGCCTCAACCCAGGGCTTCTTCAGCCATGTCTGTGTTTTGGTCCTTGCTGGAAACTGCGTCAGGCTGACATCTTCCTGAGCTTGTGGCTGTTCAAAGGAAGAGAGAACACACATAAATAATGACCTCAATTATAGTTTTCTCTTCTTCCCTGAGAGAATAGCTCAGGTGGAAGAAGGGACATGTGACATGACTGTCTCTGAGAAGATTTCAGGAAGGAGTAGCTAAGTCTAACAGGAGATGGAAAGAGATGGATTCCTACCTCAGGAAAAGGAGATGTTTCTTCACCCAGCCTTCCTTAGGATTTACACAGGCATTCCGCCCACTGGCAGTGTGGAAACTGGAAAAGAAATAATGATAAAGATATCAGAAATCCTTGCCAATAACTGCTGTGTGGAGTACAGTTACTCTATATAATGACCAATAGAAACTGCTTTTGTAAACACCAGCTAAACATGGAATGCTCCAAATCCCTCCAATATTATATGAAGAAAAAGAAAGTTAAATGTAATAGTTACTTCAGTCTCAGGGATCATTTTTGCACCATAAAATGTTGTTCAATTTATTTGATCTGTTTAGGCAAAGACCTTTGCTGGATGCCAGAAACAATTTGTAAAATTGAGAATAGCTGCTGTCAAGCTAAGGTGACAGATCAACATCAAGGCCAAAACCTTGTAAGAAAAAACATCTGATCTCTGTGAATTAGAAGGAGTCTTGTCACTTAGGTATCTGTTCACAGGTGTTGGCAAGGGAGCACACTGTGTTGGCCAGAATGGCCCTTAGCTGGAGACAAAACCTGTCCTTGTTTGCACAGCTGATTCCTAAAGAGTCAGATTTATTATTTACATTGTATGACTGTCCCTTGGGTTAGCAGTCCCTATCAACTAGAGGTTGTGTGTTTTGTTTACAGGTGTGATATACAGTTTCTTTAGTTAATTTAACTTTCTGAAAAGGCAGGAAGAATCACCCTTATAACATTCAAATCCTTCGTTTAGCCCAGACAGACATCCCAAGGTTAATACATGTCAGAAAAACTGCAGGGATTCAGAAAGTAACTTACATGATGGCAGGGATGTCGCAGACCTCACTGGGGAGCTGTTCAGTGTAACCCTTCAGGACCCACCGAGGCAGACGCACTTTGGTGTACGACAGGCAGCAATCCTGGTTGCTTTGTGCTGGAATGGAGGACAACAACAAAGTCAATAAACCCCATTTGGCCCTGCTGTCTAGGGCACTCAGTGTTCAACCCCAACCATCCAGCTCGCTCATGACAGAAGAGGTGGATGAGAGAGGATGCAGCACATTCTGGTGAAACCATTCCCTTCCAGCTCAGCCCCATCCTGCTGCCAGCTGTGAGCAGCACCAGGAGCCCTTCCCAGAGCAGAACACCCGAGGTCACTCACCTTCCGAGGTGCCCCACAGGAGCAGTGCCAGGAGCCCCAGCAGGGAAACCAGGACCATGCTCTTGCTGCCGCAGCCACTCATTCCCTCTCCACACACAGCTGTGCTCCAGTGAGTACCTGGCTGCTGCCTGCTGCTCCTGCCAGCCCTGCCTCACCTCCACCTGCTTATAAAGGGGTGGCAGGAGCCGCGGGAATTCACACACGGGCGGGTTCCACTGTCATCAGCGGGTTTCCCCACAGCAAATTCCATTGCGCCCGATTTGGCCCCAGCAATCCTTCCGGGTACTACAAACAGAGATAAGTGTGCTGGGGAATATTTTCTTTTTTTTTTCTTTTTTTTTTCTTTTTTTTTTCTTTTTTTTTAAAGCTGCTTAAAAGATTTGGTCTAAAAGAAAAGGAAATAAAAGGCTATGAGGTAATGGTTCTGTGGGTGGAGCGTGTGTAGTTTTAGAGGTAGGAGTGAAATAAGGAAAGAGGTGGGTGGGTGAAATGAGGAAAGTCAAATGTAGGTAACTTTAAATGTTACCTATAGAAACTGTGTGTCTGCTGTGCTCTAGTTTAATAAACACAGCCTGGGAGCAGAGGCAGGTGGGCTGAGCCAGCCAGATTCATTTCAGTGTGGCAAGCCCACAGGAGCTGGGTCGCAAGCTGCACCAATATCAAAGTACTACATTAATATTTCCTGGTTGGCCAACTCCGCAACATTGGACTTTCCAGATTACTGCTTTCTGAGCTCTGGACTGTATTGGCAGGGACACATGAGCAACACTGAGTATTCATGGAAATGCATTTATTTCATTTCCTTAACCGTATATTCCTTGCCATGAGTTCCTGCCAGGTTGTTACATGTCTGAACTATTTCATCTGCAACAGAGTGAGCTTAAAAGAAACTTGAAATTGGGCCTAAATTCTCCAAATCCGTGCCTTCTAGAATGCATTAATGCACTTAATAAACAATAGCCATAGTTTGTTGCTTTCCCAAACTGTATCAGAGTATTGAGACACCTGAACATTCAAAAAAATATGCACAATCTTAAAATTGCCGCGCACAGCTCTAGAGAAACCACCAGGGAGAGGCTCTGTCACCACTCCAAGTACATTTTTTGAGCTGCTACTCAATGATGGAACTTTCCCATGCTGTTTAGGGATCTGTGTGAAACTACTGTGATGGCTGCAGGCCATGTCCTGGCCAGCCAGTACTCACAGGAGCTGCTGCCAGCTCCAGGTGCTTATAGAGTAACCTGAGCTTTAAGTGATTTCTGTTAAGGCAGAGCTCATGGACAATCATAGGCAGTGCATAACTACATGCCTTCTATCCTTCACAGAGTGCCAGTACCTCTCTCAAAGGGTGATTTGTAGAAATGGTAACAGCTTGAACTCTAGAACAGACTATTATTCAGAGAAAGTAATTTCTCTATGTAATAGTGAGAACTGAGGGAATTTCATATGGCTGAGGTATATATGAGCAACCTTGCAGTGTGCATGGCATCACATATACTGGACATGCTTCTCTGCAGGGCCACAGCAACTGGCCAAAGGATGGGAAGGAGGCAACAAAGAACCCATGCCCTAATGAAAGCAGCTTTTTGTAACTGTTTTATGGATCATGGTGAAATGCCACAAAAGTTCAAAAAGATCAATGCTCTCAGTATGCAGCTATCTCATTTAAAGACTATCTGTCAGCATTAGGCAATGCCTCAAACTCGCTGACTCGAATGGTAGTTTTTTCTTTTACATACAGGTTTCAGGGATCCCAAATCTATTATACCTATAGCCAGCTCTGGCATTCCATATGCTATTTCCTAGGCCATGCTGTTATCCAGATGGCGGTGGCCTTGCACCTCATGTCTTCCTCATGACTCTACAGCTCTATTTCTTCTCCACCCAGGGCTTCTTGGACAGAATCTTCTCATCTGAGCTTTGACACTTCTAGCTAAGCCCCAGCAGTTTGGATACCAGGGCTGACACTGCTCAGGCAGCGCTCACCCCCTAGTCCTGCTCTGAGGCACTTTCCATCACACCAGCACACCAGGGGTTCCCACAACTGACCATGGCTGGTGATGTGCCTTGTCACAGCTGGACTCATGCTTATGGTGTTCCTTTTATCTCATTCTTTGTTTGATTTAGGAAATTACGTTAAGATTTAGATTTAGAACAACAGCCACAAGGTGGGCCCCAGCTTAAGGAGCACTGTCAGTTTGTTTGCACTTGGTGTATACAAAGTGCCTTCAGTTTATTTGCACAAAATAGTTAAAACAATACAAAAAGCTTTAATGCAAACAGCTGAAGAAAGCTCTGCTGGTTGTGATATGACACATAACTGTATCTTATCAGTCTTTACCTTCACAAACCCCTAATGGAAACAGAAGGCAAAAAATATAAAAAACCAAGGAGGTGTTTATATGTCCCAGGGAACTGTTTTTCATTATTCCCTGGGAGTGAGGGAACAGTGACTGTTGTCCACCCTGACCCAACCAAACTTTAAACCTGTTTCCTCTGGCACCTGTGTGAGCAAGTGGGGCCTTGTGGGCTGGCCAGGGACTGCCACATGGCCAAGAGGTGAGACTGCCAGGCCCGGGGTGGCCAGTGGCACCTCCAAACCTGTTCCTGGCTCAGTTGCACGTGCCATATAAATGTGTTTAGTGTCCTAACACTACTGCAGTTCAAAGGCTACACATTGAGGGGGCCACCAAGTCAAGGGAAGCCATCATTTCCCTTTCCTGGGGCCTGTGTAGGGAGGGCTGTGTCCAGTGTCTCCTCAGAGGGTACAGCCAAAGCATGAGAGCTGTCAGCCACAAGATGTGAAAAGCAAAATTCCAAACAGACATAGAGAAGCCACCTCTCCATAGCAAGGGAGTGAGTGAGGCACGGGGACAGGTTGCCAGGATGGAAAAGCCTAGTTTGAATACCCTTGCAGATACTCAAGCTGGATGTGGTCTTTCCCTGAACATGATCTTAAACTTGGGTTCCTTCCCAAACCACAATCAACCCTGAATTATTTTTTTCTGGGTTTTTCACATTTAGCTGTTTGTTTCTTATTTTAGTTCCCTGACTTATTTGTCTTCCTGACTTGACTGTAAGCTTCTCAGCTTCCCTCCCTCCTGTTGTCCCTCCTCAGATCCCCTCACAACAACTGCAGTCACAGTAAGGCAGAGCAGCAAAACACAGACTGACAAAGCCTTCATCCTCTCCTAAGCTTCCTCTCCCGTTGTTCCAGGGGCCATAGAAAGCAGGCTCAAACCCCTCCTGTGCATAACAGCAAAGACAGCCTAGGTGCCAGTGCTGCAGAGCCATCCAATCAGACCTGTGGAAGAAATACATTAGGGAAAACTGAGTCTTTTCCCAAGTAATACTGGGGAATTGACAATTCTGAGCAGGTTGGGGATGTTAAAGAGGAGAGCTGGGGAGTCAAACTGCTCTCAGACACCATCTGCAAAGCTACAGCCAGAGGCAACTTTCTCTGGTCACCAAGCTGCTACATCCTGATAATATGCTTCCTCTCCTATATCCCAAAGGACTTTTACTCACAGAAATACCTGCTGAAAGTCTGAAGTGCTGAAGAGGACTTCATAGTTCAACCTGGATAAACACCTCCATACAGGGCAAAAAACTGGAGGGGAGGGGATGGGCTTACCACATCATTCTCCCCATCACAGAAAAGCACAGGAGCAGTCTACCTGGTTTCCATGCAAGGGTTAAAATACTTCATGGACTTTTGAAAAGAAAGATAGAGAAGGAATTTTATAATCATTAACCATTTGATTATTGTCACTTTATGGGCTCAGGTCTAAAATTAAAGATGAAAGACTAAATGAACTTGAATGTCAGACACTGTATCTTTACCTGTGCCCTACAATAAGATGAGAAACGTACTGCCAGTTGTTAATGAACTAGCAGTTAAAAAGTTTCCATGCTTTTCATCCTCACAAAGAGATATTGTTTTATTGCGTATTAGTACCGTTTCTGAATTGATGTAAATAAAGCATTACAACAATAATGCTGATCATGCAGGAAACACAGAACCAGATGGGGGAAATTCCCTTCTATAATTTCCAAAGGTTTAGGACTCCTTTGATAAAGCAAAGTGCATGAGAAGGCAGTAGCCAGAAGGAACATGTCCAAATACGGGGATTTAATCATTGCGTAATCTCTGATGAGTAAATGCATAATAAGTACCAAGCACAAAAGTTCCAGAGGTAACTTGCTCAATACCTCTGGAGCTTTAGAGGCTGTGATGCAATCCAGTGATTTCAGGCAATTCAGTAGTTGCATGACTGACAAAAGCTGTTATCTGAGGAAGAAGATAATTTTCACTAATTACAGGCTGCACTTCATACGTTACAGACCTAGAAATACCATTGAATGACATTGCTCTGATGCAGTTGTGGACAAGATATGTGCCTGTTAGGAGAAATTAACTTCTCATCTATCGAAAGTGCAGGTTATGAGGAGTCCTGATGCACCTGCCAGGAACATCCTGGCAGCATCCCAGCACTGCTGATTGCTTCCTGCTACCTACATACAGTAGCTAAATATCCAGGGTTCTGAGGGCAGATTTCTCTCTGCAAAGTTAACTCTACTCTGTCTACAGTTCCTTAGGGTAGCTAACCACCTTTTCACAGAAATGGACCTCTCAAATGTGATGGCAAAGCTTATAACTGGAAAGAAGAATGAAAAAAATCTTCATTGGATTTGTGTGGCAGGGTTTTGGGTAGGCACTGGTGGTGGATTCTCTGCTAGAATCTTCTCCCATGTCTGGCAGAGCCAATGCCAGCTGGCTCCAAGGAAGGAGTCAGTGAACAATGCTGAGCCTATCACTGACAGTGGTATTATGTCTGGGATAATGTATTTAGGAAGGAGGAAAAAGCCCTGTGCAACTGCAGCCAGAGAGAAGAATAAGTATATGGAGGATGGATATAGAAAACCACTCTGTAGACCCAAGTTAGGTGCAGAAGGAGGCTCAGGACCCGCCCCAGGTGCCAGAGCAGAGATTCCCCTGAAGCCCAAAGTGCAGGCTGTGGTGAGGCAGCTGTGCCCATGCAGGAGCAGAGATCCACCTGCTGCCCCTGGAGGACCCCACTGCAGAGCAGGTGGATGCCCAAGGGAGGCTGTGACTCCTTGGGACACCCACACTGCAGCAGGCTCCTGGCAGGACCGGTGGCCCCATGGAGAGAGGAGCCCATGCTGGAGGAGGGAGATCGTGTGAGGAGTTCTCTCCCTGAGCGCAGGAAGGAGCAGCAGAGGTTACATGTGATGAAGTTACCAAAACCTCCATTTTCATACACCTGAACTGCTGGGCGAAGGAGGTACAGAAAATCAGGAGTCAAGTTAAGAACAGGAAGAAGGGAGGTGTGGGGGGAAGATGTTTTAAGAGTTGATGTTACCTGTCATTATCCTACCTTGATTGATTGCTAAAAAAAATTAATTAATTTCCTCAAGTTGAATCTGTTTTGCCTGTGTTGACAATTGGTGATTAATCTCTCTATGCTATTGTTTTGGTCTCTGAGCCTTTCCTTATTTACCTCTCCTCTGCCGAGCTAAGGAGCAGAGTGATAGAGCAGCTTTGGTGAGCAACTGGCATCCAGCCAAGGTCAACACACCAGTCAAAAGAGGAAGCTTTAAACAAAGTTAAAAGCTGTCTGTCAAGCTGGGCTCTAAGTCACATTATATTTGCTTTGTTACAGCCCTAGTTCTCTTCCAGTTTAAATTTGTTTTAATTTTATTTTTTATTTTATGCCTTTAGGCGTAGTAAACACAACAGCAGGAACATTTTGACTAATATATTTCTGATCTTTAAAGTAGTCCAGAAGTGAGGATTTTCTGAATAACTTCTGCAAAGGTGGGAAAAAAAGAAGGAATCACTTGAAAGGATTTTACACTATCTCCTGCAAGGGGCTGAGGTTTTGTAATCAGGTTTCTTTTTGTCTGCAAATGACCACCAAGTGTCATTTGCAGACAAAAAGAAACCCAATTACAAAAGTAGTAATATGATTGATTAATTAATGATGTAATTAAATTAATGTAATGCAAGGATACTACAGACATTAGCCACAGATGTGTTTAACATCCCAAAATCTACACCAAGAAAAGCTATCAGCAACTTTTCAGCATGAGAGTGATCATACAACCATGCTGAGACTGAGCCTGACCCTCACCACTTCTACACAAGTCAGTGCTTCTTCACTACTTCAGTTTGGCTGAGAATTTCCCCAAGATGCATAGATCCCAAAGAAGATTTAGAAAAGGAAAATTGCTGGAGCCAAAATCCACAGCCTGAACATGAAAATGCCTTCCAATACTGATAAAATGAGGGCTTGCACTTTAAAAAATTTTAATTCAGAAAGAGTTGAAAAAGATAGTATGCCTTGGCAATTATGAAAGATAAATATGTGACATTTTCTGAATCTTTAAAGTAAAATACAAGAATAGAAGTAGGGAAGAAGAAAATCTGTGACTTAAAATTTTCATTAAAATGCAGTTTTAGGTTGGCTGAAACTGTTCATTAATTCAATTGAAACATGGTTTTGTATAAATTAGAAGAGAATTATTAAGAAAATGGGAAGCTGCTTTTTTTTGTGTTCTGTTTGCTTCCTCAGGAAGACCTAAGACAAATAATCCAAACCTTAAAAAGAAAAGAGAAAAAAGAACTAAACAACATGAAATGGTAAAGTTTTAAGTTGACCAAGAGAACTCATGAAGGTTTTACTGAGTCATACTTGACATATAGAATCACACAGAATAGATCATATAGATATATAGAATATCTATAGAATCTAGATATTCATATCATATAGATATATCATATAATATAGAATTTGTGATTACTTGGACTACGTAGTACATTGTTAACAGAGCCAGCATTTTGTCATGTGTTACGGGAAGACCAGCTTAAAAATACCCAGCAATACCTGCTTATTTGGGATTGCCAAACAAAAAGCAATCAAGATTGTTTTAAATAGCTGTTAGTTCACACTGGAGTGGCTGTGTCATGACGGCTGGCAGAGCAGCTGTGGACACAGGCCCTCTCAAGACAAGTGCTGCAATCACTGCAGCTTTTCAGCACTACACAATTGCGTTATAGGGACTTTCCTGTGAGGAGCCTTAAACCACCCTTGCCCAAAACAGCTGCCTTGGACTTCCCTCTTTCCAAGAGCCTGCTCTTTTCCCAAGGAAACCACACCACCACATCCCTTCTGTCCCGACTCTTACAGTTCTTTTGCATAACACAACTGAGATCACTGACTTTCTTGGACTTCCCTCTTTCCAAGAGCCTGCTCTTTTCCCAAGGAAACCACACCACCACATCCCTTCTGTCCCGACTCTTACAGTTCTTTTGCATAACACAGCTGAGATCACTGACTTTCTTACCCTCCTATATCCCTTTTTTGGACCTTGGTTATCACCTCTTGATTTCTGCGAGAGGCATTTGGAGGCCCTAGAAAGAGCAGCCTTGCCCTAGCTCCTGTGAAGGAAGCCATCTGCCAGGGTAATTTTTCCTCTCTTTCTGCAGGGTTCCCTTGGCTGCTTCAAGCATTCTCTTGCTTGTCCCCATTTTCAGAATCTTTCTTGCTTATTGCTAATCCAGACAACTGCAGCCAGCCCCAAAAGTGCCTGTTGGTTGGGCTATTGGTTAGGACTTTGAGGAGGGTGCTGTGTCCAACCACTCAAGCCTGCTCACAATCAGTTTGCTCCCGCAAACAAGGCAAGAACCAGAGACAGAAAAACTGTTTTAAGCCAGAAAAGATGTTTTAAGTCAAGCAATCTGGGCTTGACAGAAATCTGCTATTCCAAAGTGACCTGTGTTTTACAAGAACATCTCCTCGAGTAAGTAGGCTCAGCCTTCCTCAGATCAAAGACTGGTCCTTTTTCTATTTGTGTTTGTACCTGACCTAGGACATTGAGGCATATGGCAATCAGGGCCAGAGCTCCAGGGTACAACATACACTGTAACTGCTTTGCCTTTGAAAGAACTCACAGGAAGGTGAAGGCACATGAGGAAAAACTTGGACTGCATTAAAAAAAATATCCTTCATGGAAGGGATAAAACCTAACACACTGTTGATGAAAAAACCAAACAACAAACAAAACCAAAACCCCTAAAGACTTTAATAACTCTATGATCAAAACTCTTTGGAGCTGGCAAGAAATCAAGGTATTAGAAGAACTCAGGACATTTTAAGTGGAAGGATTCTTACATTTAGGCAAACTCTAGCAGCATAATGGACCTATTTTAAGTCTGTTCCAGTTTACACTAGAGGTTTAGCATTAAATGAAGCAGCCAGTTTGTTATGACCACTTATGAAAATGTGACAAATGCTCTTCCAGCAGGACTTTACACTACTTGGGCTGTTGCAGTGATTCAAAGTCTCCCATGGTGTCTGTAATGAGATGCACCTTGAGGATAAAAAAAATGTAGAGCAGACATGCTGAGCTGAAACTTCCTACACACAGGTTGTGCAAACATAAATTTGCATCTCTGAAACGAGATATCCGTCTGTGACAACAGGACAATATCTGCCACTAGTGGGAGGCCTGTGGAATAAGTCTACAGGGGAACACGCCCTGGAAAGTGCTCTTTCAACACGGAAAGTGCCTTAGAAATCCCTTCAGGTTCTTCCTCTCATTTCTCTTTGGCAAAGCACAGTGAGAGAGCATGAGTCACTACAAGTATTAACCATTTCAGATGAGATTTCTTTGACGTATATATCACTTCCCTTTTGTTAATTAACTGGAGATTTTAAACTGTGCAATCCAAGAAAGACTAAAGCACAGGTATTGAATTGGATTGTATTGTTACAAAAACTACAAATAAGATGATAAAGTCACCAGCTCAAATCATCAAGTAGCAAACTTGGAGATAGGGGAGATTTTTTGGTGCTGGAATAAGCATCCTACATACATCTATTTCTAACTGTAGTTAGAAATTCTAAAGATGAAGCTTAATAGAGTCTTTCATAGTCTTCCTCATCTCCTAAAAGCAATGCTTTTTTGCTCATTTTTGTTACCATATGTCACTGTTTTCTCACTAGAAACATCTTTCCCCTCTTCATTGAGAAACAAAAAACTGCTGTTCTTCCTTTAAACCCTGATGGCTTCTATACCATTAGAAGAGCTGACAGACAGTGTAGGGGACAGAGGGACACCAGAGCCCAGTGCACTCAGCCACAGTCAGCACTTGCACAAAAGTCAGCTGCAAACCTATAGCAGTGACCTCATAATATTTTATTAGAAAGGAAAATCTCAGAGAATTCCACTGACAAAGGAGTGGTTCTTGTCCTCCACTGATGAACCAGAAGAAAAATATAAGGAAAACTAAAAGACCTGCTTAATATATAACCTGTTCTTTCTTCTGTAGGTCTTTCTGTTCTGCTGTCATTAAATGCAACAGGAAGGTTTTTTCCACCTTCCAGCACCTCACTGCTTTGCATGCCTCAGCTGGGAGAGCAGAGTGTGCTTTGTGCCAGTAACAGTGAGAAAGTAAAAGCTTGTTCAACCAACCCAGTCCTCAAAGAGTGGAAAACTCCTTTATTTGGAAACCTCCCAAGATCTGTGACAGATTTTTGCAAGTGGCACAGAGCAAACCAGAGAGCTGCAATGCAGGGCACTGCCATGCAAATAAAGATACCTGTAAAGCCTTGGCAATGCTTCCAAAGGGACACCCTCTGTAACTGGGTGTTCCTTGCCCAGCCTCTCACAACTACATAAGTGATCTTTCACCTACAGTGAATTCAGCAACTAACATGTAACCAAAAGGAGACAAATCAGCCAGTGACCTATATTGCAGAAAGGTAATGCAACCTAACTTTCCCTGGTCAATAACAGGAGATTAAGAGGGTAAATCCCTGCAAACCAGCACTTGCTCAGACTTCATTGCTTACAAAAGGGACATAAAACATGGCCAAAGCAGGTTCAACCAGTCTTTATAAACTCATCACAGGACTTCTACATGCTCCATACCATGTTGGTAGCACATTATAACAAGAGGTCCAGGTCTTGTTTGTGCCCAAGTGTGCCAACACAAAAATGCTGCCTGTAAGAAAATAGAATTAAATCCCCTCAAAATGTCTCAGGGTGATGATTAATGGCACAGCTGTTTGTTCCAGCTGCTGTTTGTCCTGCACTGCTACCAGCAGCCACTACCCTGGCATGGTGCCAGTGGCAATGGGCACTCCAGTGACAAGAGTTAAGAAGAGTGAATAGCTAAAAAAGATAGGCATTATCCTTAGGTAAGGTACAGCACAGTAAAAAATAGCTTTACAGCATTACTTTTCAGTAAAGAAGCAGCTATAAGTGTACATTTAAACCAAGTACCTGAAACATTAGTTTGGTTGAATGTGTTTCCTAACCTACCCCTTGGAGTAATGCCCTTAGTACCTTCTGTCTAAATATCCCAAAGTAAACTTTGCACATTAATTTTTGTGTCTCAGATGAAAAGCACCTGAACCTAGGATGTGAATGTCTTGCCATGTTAGGAACCTGGGTCAAGATTCAGCTGAGAAGCAAGTCATGGAAACACACACCCACACACTGTGGGATTCAGGGCCAGACTGCAGGGAGCAGCTCATTCCCAAAGTGAGCATGCAGTACATGAGAAAAGATAAAGATCAGCTGATCTGTAAGTCAGAAAGTGAACTTGTCCTGTGAATTCTCCTGGGTCTGAGAAATCTGACAAAAATACACTTTATTTTTTGTAACTGCCATCAGAAGCTTTCTGTGCATAGGCTGTATTTGCCACAAATGGAGAAAAATCTTCAGCATTAGCCACAGAAAATTTTCTTTATATCACTTCCTTTAGAGAGCAAAGTACATATTCTTCAAATAGAATAAGCCATCAGTTTGATTTGAAGAAGTCTCTTTGTCTGAGTTGGAGAGGTGTCAAGAAGCAGATGTGATGTGTGAGCTGACAGTCAGTGCCCAGCCAGAGAGAGACACCTCACACTGCCAACATGAGCCTTTCAGCCTTGGTGCCATCCTGTGAAGCACCAGAGATAATATCAGGATTGAGTCCAAGGGGCAGCAGAGGCAGGAGACAGTATCAGGATGACAAAGGTTTTCAGTCTTGTTCTTTTTCTGCCTTTCTTCCCCTCCCTGAATTTTCCTATCTCCTTGATTCATTACAGACCATATTATATTAACTCTTCAGGATACTCTACTACCATAAAACTCACCTTTCCTCTACTCTTACAGAATCTTCCCTCTCCCAAGTGAACAGAATTGGGATGTCAGCTAGAAACAGATTGCCCAGCCCACCCTCCAAGAACAACACTTCTGCATCTGTCTACTCTTGGTGAAAGAGTGTAGTTCCCTTCAAATCCAGCAACTAAGCTCTGCCACAGGTAGCTTAGGCATAGGGCTCAAGTTGCCCAAAAACCTGCATAAGCTCATCACAATTTTACACTTGGCATTCAGAAGTGAATCAGTGAAAAAGCATGAAATTTTAACTACAAACAAGATGGATTGAAAACTATGGGAAAGAAGAGATAATAAAGGATAAAAGAGAATCTGAAAGCAGGGAAACCAAACATTGATGCCTGGAAGTTACTTAAATCATTCTCATTATTGCATTACAGGAAAAACAGAATTTTGCAAGTTTTTCTCAGTGTCAAGAAATTTGAGTTGGATTCTTCAGTAAGTCAATGCAAACCCCAAGTAACACTGTTTGCCTCAGGAGTTCTCTGCATTTTAGCAAGAGTTCATGAGAATAAAACCAAACACAGGTATACTCAGTGTTCTCTCAGAGGAGCTGTCACCTCCTGTAGCTACAGGGTCATTAGAACAGGAAGAACCAAGATAACTCTGGGATCAGTGTCAGCAGTGACTGATGGCTGGGAAAGAGCCCAAAGGAACGATTACATTCCTTCCATGTGTTAGTTTCACATACACTACAGACGCTGCCAGCATGTGAGGAGTGTCTGATGATGCACCAGGAGTCACATGGGTCAGCTGGAGATAGTCCTGTGAGGAGCAGGGAATGGAACATGATGATCCCTGTGGCTCCCTCCCAGCTCTAGGTGTTTTGTGACTCCAGAAGTGCACAGCGCTGACCCAGCCAGGAGGAGATGGTTTCATGGACAAAGTCCAACAAACAAGTTATAAAGGCAAGAGGCAGGGATGGCCCCTCTAACATCACTAATCCTGTAATATTGGATTGCTGAGGGGCAGAAAGCAAAGGCTGCAAACTCTGGCCAAGAGTGAAGATGAAGGTGGCTGACCTGAGACACTTCTCTGACCCAGCAAGGAATGTCATACATTTTCATATTCATGTACATGTCTATAAAGTTACAGTTCCATTTTAGCTTCTCCGACCCAGCAAGGAATGTCATACCTTTTTCATATTCATGTACATGTCTATAAAGTTACAGTTCCATTTTACTGTGTGTGAACCAAGATGCTGCCTTCCTCTGGTTGTATAATTCACTGTTATCTACAAATAGTTACACATTTTCCTACTGTATCAGTCATATTCCTAAATGATTATTACATCACTCATTCCAGACCTACATGCTGTGGGACCAGGGTGGGAGCGGATCTAAATTTGTGTAACTACTTTTTGTGAAAATCTGTACATTTCACAGAGTATACTCTGCTGTTATGAGTCCCACAGAATCTTCTGAAGCTGGCTATAGGGCAGCTATCCCCATCTTCTGCAGCACTGTAAGAACCTGGCAAAGCAAAAAATCTGACAAATTTGCCAGAAAATAAGTCCAGAAGAAGAAGAGCAGGGTGTTTAACTTTTTACCTTTTAAATTTTTCAGAATACTTTAAAACCCCATTTAAGTGGTGTGGATACCTTCCAATCTTATAGCAGTGGTATTTGCTCACCCTCACCTCTGCAACTACCCACACACAGCTACTGCTCCCTCTTTAATATAGGACAATTTGAGGCACAGATAGCTCCCAAGCCACATATCCTGTCAAATAGACCCAAAATCTTTGGGAACAGAACTTCCTCTATTGATTTTGTGCCAGTCAGGCACTAAACTGTAGTTTGGGTCTTGATTCACTGCTGCCTTGGGCCAAAGACAGGCCAGGATTATCTGGCTGTTCCTTTAAGGGTGCTGAAAGAAAGCCAGCTGGAGGCCTTTCCAAAGGAGGTGTCAGAGCAAGCTGTAACACCAGAAGAACAGGAAAAGCACAAAACCCAAACAGAGTCCAGTATCTGCAATACACACAGGACAGCCAGAAGTGAGACTGGGAATACTAAAAGGAGGCTTTTCCCTTGGAAGTAAGAAAGGAAGAGCTCCAGCACAGAAGGTATGATTATATATGAACTTTAGAAATATGAAATCCTGCAATGACAAGGGAAAGTGGGTGGAAAGAAGAGAGCAATCCAATGGGGAGCTGGGGGGCTGTGTTAGGCTGTGTGTAGAAGAGATGACAGCTCTGGCACCAAGATTTGCTGAAGGAAAAAATAAACAGAGGATTGTTTTGTTGTAGAACAACACCACAGCATCCTAAATCCTAAAATCTCTTCAAAGTGAAAAAACCCCTAGATTTATAAAAGAAAAATTGACCACATGGGATGACTGAACCGGGAACAAAGGCAAGGCAGAGCTCTGGTTGCCAGAGGTTTGTGGTTACGAATGCAGAAAGGAGGGGTTGTACAGCTGGAGGGGGCTTCACCAAGGGCTGGGGGTGAGTGGAACCCAAACCCCCGGGCAGGTGAGGTGACACCATCTCCCACTCCCCAAGGGCAGAGTGGGCTGCCCCTGAGAGCCCTCAGCCCTCTGCCCCTCCCAGCTCAGCACCAGTGACAGGTTTTTTCTGCACAGCTCCTTGTATCAAGTGGGAAACTTCTCACCTGACTTCACCTACCAGCCTGACACTGGCAGCTCAGAGAGCAGAAGAGCAGATTAGAGGTACAGGTCTAGTCCAAAACCCTAAACAGTGACAGCTAGCACTGTAGGGATGCAGTGACCAGGACACACCTGAGGTTCTTCTGTGTACAGCTGAAACCATGAATTCCTGCACAGGATGGCAAAGCCCTGCCACCCATGGGCAGCATCCTAGAGGCAACACAAGCAGCCTGTGAGCCCTGCAGAGGCAGCAGCTGCCCCACTCACCTCCCAAGGTGTGTGTGACATTTTGACAGGCTACATGAGACTTGCTGCCCCTGTGTCACACAGCCTGCTAGGGGTGAGCAAACAGGGCAAGGCCTGAAACAGACCAGAGCAGAAAGGTTCTGCTGGAAAGGGAAAATATGCCCTGGCTATTGACTTGTACAAATGTCTCTCATTACAGTGCTAGAGATGCTCTCCACCCCACTCTTCTCGATGCCTTTCTCAGAATCACATGCAGCATTCCCATGGCACTGGGGTGCTGTATGGCTTTAATGATTACCACGTGGGAGGAGAGCCGGGGGATGTTTTGGTGACTCAGTGAGCACGATCCCGGGCAGGGCCCAGACGGGTTCTGCCAAAGCCACGTGTGCAGCAGACTGATGTTCCAACATCAGTCTGCTGGGAGGAAGGAGGGGCAGGAATGTTTCCTTCCTGGAGCACTCAGTGTCTCTCAGTCCTCCCCAGCTGGTTTGCCTTGCTGGGGCCACCTTGCCATCTAGTGGTTCACACTGCACAGCTGACACAGAGCTGGGTTCGTTTCTGCTGGAATCCTGTTAATGCCCACGCTTTCAGCCCTTATGCACCAAAGGAAGTAATTCAAATTCCCCTGGATCTGCACCCATTTCTTAGCGTGTCAGGCTGTCAGTAAAACGTGCTCTCATAGCATGGAGTTAGAAAAGAAAATGCATAATGCCTACTGCCTCGTACTTACCACATCCTGTAAAAAAGGATCCTCTGCCCATCCAACCTGGAGGGATATACTCATCAGGACATGACTGCTATGGGCTGAATAGACCTTCCTTCAACTTTTACAAAAAAAACACTACTTCATTTTTAAGATTTTTATAAGATTCATTTTTTGCCCAAAAAAAGAAAGAGTTATCAGGAGGGAAGTAGATAAAAGTCAAAAGCACAGTGATAGAAATCCCACCTGCTAATATGCAAAGTCCAAAGGGCTCCAAAAGATAAACTGCACACATTAAGATTCTTGACATTGCCTATACTAACATGAATATGGATATTAACTTACTGTCTGTTTCCTTTGCATGTCCCCATTACACCCATTTTGACTTTTGTTTGGGCTCTGTCCAGCAGAGTTGCAAATTTTAATTTATTCCATCACCTCACCTAGTGACAAGAACAAAAATACCTGCTTCATTTCATTTCAGCATGAACTCTTAACCTTCTGTGGCCACTTTTATAGATGGGAAATATGATGTCTGTATCCAAAATGGACTTCTTATGCAGATAATTCCAGATGAGAGTCTGGCTTGATATCCTTTCTGTATTTCTTAGCAGCTCCATCTGCTAGGCTATCTGTCATTCATCAAGGTGCTTGGCTGTGATCAGTCACAGTGTCAAGGGAAATCTCAGTGCTCAGCTGACTTCAGCCACTTCCATCTAGAAAGGCTTTTCCTGTGTTTATCTTGGTCAGTGCAGATGGAAAGACAGGGTAGTTTGTCTCCCAGTTAAGGATCTTCCAATTCATTTTTATGTGCTTTCTACAAAGAGAGCAGCAGACAAAGGTAAGGAATAGCTGTTCACTTTAACATTATTCATAAAAATTATTTTGAACTGTCAACCTCTAATGAATACTGCTTGCCATTAGAAACCAAAAAATAAAAATCAAGTACAAGATCTCTTTGCACTTGCATGGGCAGTATCATTATTCTAACAAACTTTATCCTCAGCTGTGCTGCAGAGGCCATGGGCTGCTGGAAGCAAGAGAAACCCAACACCTGGGCTTTTCCCACCCTGATCCTCTGCCTCTATGGATTCTTCTACATGATGAAACCATCAGAACCTTTCCTAACACCCTATCTAACAGGACCAGATAAAAACCTGACCACAGATGAGGTATGATTTTATTCTATGGTTTCTTTAACTAAAGTAGTGAAAAGAGAAAGAGAAAACACTGTTTAAAATTTTTTTAAAAGATAAAAAGAAAAAAAAAGCACAAATTTAACTAGTTCTGACAGGTTACAATTTGCACCAGACCGCATAAATAAAAGATCCATTTAACAGATCTAAGATACATTTGCCTACTCAAAAGTCCCATGCTGATTCAATGTGGTTATATATTTTATGAATTCCTTCAGAAAAAAAACTTCCCTCTACAACATGATTTAAAATACATGAACTTCCTCTCCTCAACAATAAAAAAACTGACATTTTCTCTTCCTTTCTAGGTTACCAACCAGATTCTGCCAGTGTGGACATACTCCTACCTCGCTCTCCTTTTCCCAGTGTTCCTGCTCACAGACTACGTGCGCTACAAGCCCGTCCTCCTCCTGCAGGGCATCAGCCTCATCGTCACGTGGCTCCTGCTGCTCTTTGCACATGGAGTGCTGGCCATGCAGCTGGTGGAATTCTTCTACGGCATGGTCACAGCCACCGAGGTGGCCTATTACGCCTACATCTACAGCGTGGTCAGCACCCAACACTACCAGAGGGTCACCAGCTACTGCAGGAGCGTCACTCTGGTGGCAGCCACCGTGGCCGCCGTGCTGGGGCAGCTGCTGGTGTCCTTAGCGGATGTGTCCTACTTCTACCTCAACGCCATCAGCTTGGCTTCCGTGTCCCTGGCGTTCCTGTGCGCCTTCTTCCTGCCCATGCCCCAGAGGAGCATGTTCTTCCACAGGAAAGATGCCCCTGAGCCTGTGCCAGGGCCTGCCAAAGGGCCGGCTGTGAGCGCTGCCCGCAGGCCCTCGAGCTGCCAAGAGGAAAGGAGCCCCGATCCTGCTGCCAGGGCCCCGGGCCCCCAGCCCCGGGCTGGCAATGCCGGGCCCCTCAGGCACACGCTGAGCGTGCTGCTGCGGCTGGGCAGGGACCTGAGGGATTGCTACGGCTCCCGCCAGCTCCTCTACTGGTCCCTGTGGTGGGCTCTGGCCACGGCCGGCTTTAACCAGGTGGTGAATTATGTCCAGGTGCTGTGGGACTTCCGGGCCCCCTCGCACAGCTCCGCAGTGTACAACGGAGCTGTCGAGGCAATAGCAACGTTTCTGAGTAAGTCAGTGTTTAAACATTGATCACAATGACAGCCTCTGAAGTTTCACTTTAGTAAACTTTCAAAGTGCAATTTCATCGCAGGGAGCCAGCGCACACCCTGTGCAGTCCAGACCTAGGTCTTTGATGTTCAACAGTTCAAATGTGAGTTATGTCCATTTTTCTTTAGTAGCAGACAAATATTTTACCAGTGTGCAGAAAGTGTGCAAGTCACACAGACATTGCATCTAGCTGGTAAATTCATTCAGAAGCACCCCTTTTCTTTGGATGAGGCTATTGGGTGGGGTTTTTTTCCCCAAAACAAGTATTACGCTGTTTCCATAACAATGCTATCAGCTTACACAGATGGGAGAAGTTTTCCATAAAAATTTTACACAAAAAGAACATAATCATCTCATTAAAATTTTTTTCTAGTCAAATACCCTTGTGCAACCACACACAAAAAAAATTTTAGTCATTGCATGATACAACGATTTTAGGGGAAAAAATGACCCTATGCATCCTTACGATACCGATGTGAACCATTCCACTTTTGTACCAGAAGCAGATGCTCACACCACACATGCAAAGTGAGGTTATCAAAAGGTAACATCAGAGGATACCACCCTGCCTTTGCTCACATTGTGCTGTTGTAAAGAACTTGCACAAGATGTGGGAGTGTTTTATCAGGAAAAATAAACATGTCTGCACCACACCTAGTCATTCATCTCACCCTTACAGTCTTTAAGGAGAAACAGATACCACTCTTGCAGCAGGCAACTAAATAGACCACGTGAATCAAAAACTTGAAGACCTCCTGCAGTATCTACTCCTTGATGAATTCCTCTCTCTCATGGACTTGCCTAGCTAGTTCTCAGTGTATAAGTATAGAAGTTTTTAAATTGTCTGGGACCTCTAAGATGGGCAGTCAGGTGCCTTAGCTTTGCAACAGATGCACCTTCTAGGAGGCCCACAGAAGCAAACCTATCCTTTCGTGTTCCTTGGATATACTTCCTTGATGCCTCAAAATTCAATTTTTGGACAGCTTACCCCCTCTCTGAGGTGCACAGAGCTAACCTATTCAATAGAAGGTTTACTAGCCTAGGTGGGAGAAGGTGGAAATATTTCCTTCTTGACCTCCCAACCATGTTCCTAATTCTCTCCCCAGAGATCCATGCTGTGCACAGACACCTAAATAATGAATCCTCCTACATTACTGTTTATCCTGTGAAGTGGAATAAAACACTAAGAACAGAATGGCAGAGACTTGATATACGCAGTGGTCTTAAAATGACCAGTCACCTGCACAGCTGCAGAACTCATCAGAAACGCTTTTAAACTTCAGACTAGTGTGCTTCATTATTCAGCATTGCCTTTCGGCATGTGAGCATGGCAGGACTTGGTCATACAGGCTGTGGAGCAGATACAATATTTACACGTATTTTTTTCTCTTTTTCTAGGCTCAGTAACATCTTTCCTAGTACAATATCTGAAGATTAACTGGGACCATTTTGGAGAACTGGCTTTAGGGATCTTCTCTGCAATAGATGCTGGTTGTCTGTTTCTCATGCACTTCTCTACCAGCATCTGGGCATGTTATGCTGGATATCTCATTTTCAAGGCATGCTATGTGCTCCTCCTGACAATAGCAACGTAAGTACAAAACATCACAATGCTGCCATCATGCACAGACTACTGACCCTACTTTGAGTTTGCTTTGAGCATCCTTTTCCTCAGAGGTAGATGATCTAATGCTTGACATAACTGTGTAGGTAAGGACAAGAACACTTAAATGTCTGATTATGTTGTTTTCATTCTTCCAAACAACCAGGAAAGAAAAATTGTCAAAAGGACATAAAACATTTACCTAAGCAGAAATTAAACAAGGCACAAAGTAATGTTATTACTAAAGGCAATGGTAACTGCAAAATGTAGAAGCCATTTTCCTCCTTCCTGGCATTAAAGATGCAAAGTGAACAATAGGGACAAGCATACCTTGACAGCCATCCTTTAGGATCACCATATGCCTAGACCCCCTACCTTTTAGCAAGCCATGAACTGCATGAATGCAGGAATAGACTCCACATAAAGTGTTCCCCAACATAATTTTATACATATAATCATTAGTGATATTAAGATGTAAAGGAATAAAAGGGAACATAGGACATATAAAGTCAAATGAGATCTCATAGGAGATTCAAGCTATTCTGTTGACAGAAATAGAAATGTATAAATAATATTAACAAATATTTTATCCCATGTAATAAATATAAAACAATATTGCTCCAGTCATTTTCTTGCTTGGAATATCTTTAGACAAACCACACTATTTCACTAACAAAAATACTGGATGCATTTTGTGTCAAACTCCAAAATTAATCAGATACCATTTTAAGAAGTTGCCAACATTATAATGCATGGCAAGATTATGCCTATTTGAAGGAAACCAAGTGAGCTCTTACTTGTCATTTTGGTAGATTGTTATTACGTTATAGTTAATTACACCTGGACTATTTCAATATATTCTAAAAAACCCCAACAAAGTAAAATCTTGCAAAAAAACTCCCAAGCTAAAACCATTGAAAATGAGTCCTGAAGGAATAACACTCTTTTGTTTGTATAGAAACTTTGCAGGTATATATTGCAAAGAAAGATGTTTTGATTATTGTCATAAAAGATACTGCAAGTAAAAATCTACAGACTCTTGACAGAAATAAGGAGCATGTTACCTCCACTGTCAAATGACAAAGCAAAACATGACTCATCACCATGGAAAGCTTGGTTAGAAGATACCCAGGGTGACCTCCCAGTCAGGGCAGAACTGCTTCCAGTGCCAGAGCAAGTCACAGCTTTGCCTGGCCAGGTCTCTGAAAGCTTCCAGCCATGGACTCTTTACAGCCTGTGTGGCACAGTCTGTGCAGGCAGAGAAGGAACAAAGGGGAAGGGTACAGAGAACTGACATTCTACTTGATCATCTGAAAGCAGGGGTTAGAAAAGCAGCCCATGCAGTTCAAAAAACCACTAAAATACACTATGGTACCCCAGATTTCATTTTTTTTTTTTTTTAGAGAAAGCAAGGAAGCAAACAAACAAATGAAGCACCATTTCCTCTGTCCTTGATGCATCATCTCCATGAATAATTTTCTCTTCATCAACTGCTAGACAGCAATAGCTTTTCCCGTGGGAAGTGACTGACCTGCCAGTTTCCCGTTAGGTTCCAGATTGCCGTCAATCTGAGCATGGAGCGCTATGCCCTGATGTTTGGATTCAACAACTTCATTGCCCTGCTGATCCAGACTATTCTTACAATAGTTGTTGTAGATTCAAGAGGCCTGGGACTGGACATAGTGACTCAAGTAAGTGCAGTTACCTTTACTTCCTATTTACTGCTCAGCCAAGTCATCTTCAAAATTCCTATGCCAAAAGACAACTTCATTATCTTTCTTCTATAGAAATCCAGACATCTTGTTCTTCCCTTGTCATTCTTCATCACTATTTCTCATCACTCTTCCCCTTTGCCTTTTAATGCATTTAGGATTACAGATGCTGGTCTGTTCGTTTTCAAAGGGAGAGACACCAGAACATAACTAACCAGGCCCTGCTATCCAACCAGTTTTAGTAGTTAATAAGACACCATCCTCTCTGCCCAAAAGCTCAGACTGGTTTTGTCAGATGCAGAATGGGAGTTCAGGACTATGAGGCACAGTCTGGATTATTTGAGTTATTTTAGCTCAAGTAACTTCTGATTCCAGCTCAGGAGCAAACCTAGTCTGTATCTCAACACGTACAATAGAGTCTTCTGCCCACAGTTTGGGCATTTCATTTGGGATGGGACATCCTATCTCACAACCGTGTCCCTAACTTCAACCCAGTGTCACTCATGTTGAAGTCAACTGAAACCTGCTGACTTCTGCATTTCCTCAGATGGGCTCTCAGCTGGGTCAGCTTTCTGCTCTAATGGGTCTGAAGACTAAAGCTATTCACACTCTGCACAGAGAAGGCAAAAGTGACTTTCAAAGAGTAAAGATTGAATCAAACATTAAATCTTTAAAATTAAGGACAGGAATATGTAGAACTTCATAAATAGCCTTGCCACTGTTGTTGGAAATACTGATATAAAATCACAGTGTATTTACTGAAACCATTGTGGTGACAGTTACTGAAACATGCAAAACAAGGATGAACTCAGGTTCTTCATGTAGATTATTCATGACTGTGTGGGTAACGAAGGTACTTCTTATTTTGCATTAATAGAAAAAAAATATCCTGTTCTTATGTCTCTCCCTGTCTGATGTTTGTTAAGAGGCATGAGGAATGGGAGAAAGGAGCAGTTCTTCATTTCACAGTTTTCTGCTGTATACTTGAAAAGCTGAAATTTTGCTTAATCACAAAGCAAAAACTCAAGTGTAGAGAAACTGCCAGAAGAAAATCAGAGTGACTGTCATCTTCAGAAGAAGCAGCATTTCTCTAATGTGTTTTTCATTAATTGTTCTGCCTTTTTCTCCTCCTCTCCCAGTTTTTAATTTATGGCAGCTACTTCGCAGTCATACATGGGATTTTCATGATCAGAAGCATTTGTGTGCTGGTCTCATGCAAATGCCAAAGGAAAATAGTGAGATCTTGCACAGAGCAGCTGAACCAGGCTGAGCACGAGTCAAGAGAGCAGATTGTCACAAGCTACATGACACGGCTGTAGGAGGCAGGCAGGCTGGAGAAGGGCTTCTCCTGAGAGAAGGGCTCCCAGCAGGGAAGAAGAGCAGCATGCAGGGAACAGCAGTGCAAGAAGAACGTTCGACTCAGCCCTGAAAAGCTACACTGAATCATTCCAGCACTTCAGCACAACATATGCCAGCAGAGAGCTCACCAGAATGGCACTGTGCCAAGAATAAAAGATAAGTTGCTTTAGATTCTTATTTATATGCATATAAATAGCTTAAGGGCAGTAATTTATACACAGAATCAGAGCAACCACCTTTGCATCCCCCCAGGCATGATGGCAGAGAGCAGAGTTCACCCTGCCTTGCTCATTGTAGCTCCTGAATGTGGTGCTGGCAAAGCTGCTTCTGTCACATTTGCTGATGCAGTGGCTGAGGGTGTGACTCCCCTTTGCACAGCCCTTGTTCTGAACCAAGGAAGAAAAGATCACATTTGCATCATTCTATTCTTTCATACCCCGTACAGGCAGATGGGGGACAGGCTCCTCCTTGTCTCATCCCACAGCTCAGTGCACACAGGCTGCAAAAAGCTGGGCTTGCACAACCTGTGCTGGGAGCTTCACTGCAACACTGCTAGGTCACAGTTGTTGCTTGGCCCACATTTGAGAGCTACAAACACTGTGCTGACTTCACAGCAACCTCTGCCGAGAAGGGAATAACTTCAGAGTCCAAGCAAAAGGCAAGAGCATCACTCCTTTGCTTGTGCTTCCATTAAATTAAATTCAGGACACATCGTCTTCCTCTTTCAGCAGGAAAAGAAATAGCATGAAGGGGCTTATGTAGCACAGACTAAAACCAGAGAAGGACATTGTGGAGAAATTTAGCTGATTCCACAGAGGAAAATTCCAGATTAAAAGGAATATCCAAGAAGATTTATAACCGAAACAAACAGGAAGCATCATGTGTGCTTTTGAGTGCCAAGTGAGGGAGGTCCACAGATCTTGGCCAAGAATTTGGCAGGATCAGCCAAACTCAGTTTGTCAAGAAACTCCAAGTCCTACAGCTAATTTTGTCCAAAAGACAGTCCAGGAGAAGAAAAAAGAGATTAGAAATGAGTTTGCATAGTGAATGTCTAATTTAATATGAACTATATCCATATGCTGAAGTTATTTCTGTACTGCTGTTTGCTTCTAGCTTCCAGTATCTACATCTAACTAATAAAAACCACTTAGCATTTACAGAATATTTTTCCTGTAGAGACACAAGCCATCATTTTTACAGACATACCAGCTTTTCATACCACTGTCACAACTGCAACAAGACAAAGTGCCCAGAGGCAAGGGCAGGCAGGACAGAAGCAATTTGTTTCAAGTCACAAGAAGAACCAGTAGGCTCTGACAAAATGAACCTGACTAATATTTTTGGCCTTTTGTTTACTACTGTGCATTGTGGGGACATTGTCTGTTGTAAACTGGCTCTAAGCAGAACAGTTTAACCAATGCAGTCATAAGAGTAGGAGATGTACTTAGTCTCCAGTGAGACCTCTTTTCTTACTGCAGAACTGAGGGCATGATGGTCCTGCCTGAAGAAACAGGGACAGAATCCAGGACAGTAAGGACTATTTTTCTATTCTCCCTTGTGAGCAGAAATCTTCTTTTGAGGCATTCAGTTTAGAACTAGATGCCAGTCCCAGACTAGAAGTTAACAAGAGCTTGTGTTTAAATTAAAAAGAGGAACTTCATATTTTCAGCTCCATTCTTATGTTCTGGCTAGAGCTAACTGCTCTCTGTGTCTGTAGGATGCCACTGAGGAGCAAAGGAACCGAGCAGACACAGTGTATTTGGCTTGAAGCTTTAGAGAAAACCATCTTCAGAAAACATATAAGACTTTAAAGAAAAAAGAATACATTTGTATTCTCTCTAATCTCCAAAATAATGATTCTGAGATTGGAAGCTGGCAGGAAGCATTATGGGGGAAATAGGGGAGGAAGAAGGCAGCTCTTAGCAATGTTAGGAGGAGAAAGACAAGGTCTTATGTTATCCTGGGTTTTCAGCTGCAAATCAGAACTCACCCAGCAGTCAGAGGTTTCTAAAAGAGTAAGATATACACATGAACCTGTGTGTTTGTGTGCCTGCACACACACACACACTGGAGAGGAGATAGTTGAGACTTGGCAGGTTACAAGGAAGGCTGGAACCACAGGCTGTCTAGTTCTGCAGGAAAAGGAAATTCTCAACGCATCCACCTCTCCTAGCAGCTTGTAGTATTGCTTGTCTTTCTTCCAGTGTGTTAAAGGTTTCCAAGCAAACACGGAACTCCAGAGCTGGGCACACTTCTCCCCATAGCTACAACCCCCTCTAAATACACCACTAATTACTTTTGAAACATTAGTGGGTTTGGGCACAAATCTTCCATGAAGATACAGTCCAACAAGCTGGTAAGGCCAGTTTGAGCAAACAATGAAGGAACAAATAGTGTGTTTGTATTCAAAACATGCAGGTACTGCCCAAGCACTGTGTGGGCTACCAGAGAAACATGAGCCAGCAGCCCTTTCAACTCCTGCCCAGCAGCACCTTCCCTTCCCAAGGTCCTTTCCCAGCCTCGATGCCCTTGGCCAGGGAGGAGGACGAAGGGCAGAGGAGGCCCAGCTCCCCTGAGCACTTCCTGCCTGGTTGCACCACACTTCAGCACTGAGGGAACCTCCCGTACCTGCAGGACCAGACCAGGCTGTCGAGCTCCCAAAAGGCCCCTCCTGCCAGGGCTCAGCTTCTGCTCCCAGGGTCAACACACGTCCTACCAACAGGCTTCAGGGTGAACTCCAGCCTCGATGAACCTTGGAAGATGCAGGCAGTACAGTCTAAAAAAAAATGGGTAAAGGAAAGCAAAGCAGCATTTCTCTGAAACAAGCCTGTTAATTTTTTAGCTAAGAACCTAGATTTAGCAGTTGAATTCCGTCCCTTTGTCCTTAAATGACAGATCTGTCCCTATACAGAAGTAATTCCTGGCCAACTAATAGTAGGAAGCATGTGCTGTCCTACCTCACAAAGCTCCAGCACAGCCAGGACAGTCAGAGCAGACCCCACGAGCCCAGAGGCCTCTGCGCTTGCATGGAACAAGTACACTGTTAGCCCAAATTGTAAAACTGGTTATCTGCCTTTTCCATGAATCAAAGACCAGGGCTTTTAAAGGTATTTATTAACAGAAAGAATGCAATCATTGCTTTCTTGTCACAACAGGTTTTATTAATCATTAGCTACACTAAGTCTTACAGTTTTATCTTAAAAATAGAAGTCAGTTTGCTGAGAAAACCCACAAAGAACACTTTCCCTGCAAATTTCATGAACAAGTTCTGCAAGAAAGAACAGCTACAACAAGTTGTTATTATTATTATTTAAATTCTGATAATATTTTATCAAGTTTAGAAATAACTTTTTGGAAAAAAAGTTACAGAAATTTCTGATAACCACAAGCTCTAAAGGGTGGTTTCTGACTTCTCTGCAAGACAAAGTCATCCTAGGAACTGCATCTGAATCCACAGGAAATGCAACACAGCCAGAGCCTTGACAGGTAATTCATCAGTGTTGCAGTTATTTGGGAGTGTGCTGGCTACTCGCTCAGTGCATTTAGAGGTGATGCAAGATTTATGCAGATGTTACTGATCAGCCCAGGGCTTAATTTTTATATTTTTATCACATTTCAAATAAGGTCTTGAGTTAAAGATACTAGAGACTATATTTTATTTACAATTATTTGTAAGAGAAAAATGACAGGAGACAATTTTTAAAAATCAAGTTACAAGGTTAGGGTTGCTTTTTCTAACATTCCTCTGAGGGTCCAGAAATATTGTTTTTATAAGATACAATCTATACTAAGTTTTAATGGATATCATCTCACAGTGCAAGCAAAAACACTTTTTCAGAAGTGCCTGCTATAGAGTGGAATTCAGCAATTTAAGATACACAGCTTGTAGCAGCATGATTAAACATCAGCTAGTGCTTTGCTTTCATTTGCTGATGATTGAAAACAGTTTCACTTATTTTCAGGATCAGTAAAATTGACTTTTTAACACAAAAGAAGTAAAATAAACTTAAAAAACCAAATCTTTCTAGACTTCTTTTTGCTGCCAACTACACTGAAGAAATAAGCCTCCTTTTCCTTTTGGTCATCACTTTCAAAAGTGAAGTCAATGGTTCTCTATTCTAAGTCTGAGCAGGTGCCATGAGCAGATAGTTTCTGGATCTTTCTTTACCCTCTCTAATGACTGGAGTACAAGAATCATGGTGAGTGTTAAAGCATTTTGAAGAAACTGAGGTCACAACGGGTTGAGCTGCCTGATGGCTTTTATTGCCATCGAGAACGTTTGCATGGTCATTGTATCAAATCAAAACAATCAATAAAATCAACAAAAAAATCAAACAGATTTGCAAATCAACAGAAAAAAAAACTCCTTGAGCACACAGAATGAGCTTTGATCTTACACTTTGCCCACTCATTTATTCAGAAATGAGACTATAATGGAACTTCAGTCTTCTGCTACAGCACAGCCACTCAGCCCTAAGCACGTCACTACGAACATCCTTTGACAGACAACAAAGAGTTTACCAGGGCTGATGCACCTTGATTCTTTTTGCTCATTTCTAAGTTGCTCATTTCCAGGCTGCAGCTGTGATGCCAGGCAGGTTCAGTGAGGGGAACATTGGCTTAGGCACGTAGCACAGCTGGAGCCATGCACTTCACTCACAAGACAGAAGCAACAATGCCCTTTATCAGTGTAACAAAGTTCAGTGGTAAACGTGACAGTGCTTTAACAAGACTCAACCAGAAAGTGTGCTTGACTTAGTGCAGAGATGGCAAGATCAGGCAAAACTGTCAGTAAGTCACTGGGTTCTAAACTCCTCTCAGAGAGGAGCCTGGGTGCAGCTTAGACCGACTCCTAGTACCAGATTTGGTCAACTGCTTCCATCTAAAGGATTGTGCAATATGTGCAATAATTCTTTATATGACTTAGCCAAAGTTTTGAGGCTGAGCACACTGTTAGTCATTTACCAAGAATGTGTTGCAGCAAAGAATCTCAGCCTCAGGAGTAACTGCCAGAGGTGTCCCTGCCTAAGAGGAGATCCAGGCGTGCAGCTCAGTGCAGGAGAGCTTGAGCTCAGTGGTTTGGTTACATCTGCACACCAACCTGACATCTGAGTCACCGCTGCAGGCAGCCCTTGGCTGTCACACTGCCACCAGTCCCTCTAAGTCCAGTTACACTGGATGCCACCACCACAGCGCCCTCACTGGTGGTTATGGATTCAGGGGACTGAGTGTAGGTTTAGTTAAAAACAAAACTTGAAAATTAATTTTTACCAACTGTGAAGAGCATCTATTCTTCCTTTGCCACGGTTTTTTTTTTTTTTTTTTTTTTTTTTTTTTACCAACTGTGAAGAGCATCTATTCTTCTTTTGCCACGTTTTTTTTTTTGTTTTTGTTTTTTTTAGGTAAATTATGGATTGCTGGAAGGAAGCCGTAAGCCACAGCTGGATTTATCCCACGGTGATCATCTGCGCAAATGGATTTTTCACCACAATGAGGCCATCAGAATCTTTTCTCACCCCCTATCTAACAGGACCAGACAAAAACCTAACAACTGAAGAGGTATGTAACTATTCTCTAAAGCAGTAACTAAAATGCTTAAAGCATTAGGCCTTACAGCAGTAACTGAAAGGAAGATGAAGTGTGAATATTTTATCTAAAGACCCATATCTAAGATGCTTCTGGAAAAGAGTCAGGAGTCACCTCTTTGGCAGGAGGTCCAAACTTTAAAGTCCCTACATCCTTAGGACTTTGAAACCCTTTTGGTGGTTGATGTTTTTGGCAAAATCAGGTCAGCCAGTTCCTCTCTCCACCCCAGAGGAGACATATATACTTTCCATGGAATTGATTACACTGACAGAATTGATTTCAAAACACAAGAAAGCTAAGCAGCCTTCCCAGTTAAGCAGCCTTCCCCTTATGAGTTGTAAGCTTATTTCCTATATTCCCTATATTTCATGAATTCATTAACCTGTGGAGGTTAAGTTCACATTCAGAAAAATTGGGGATTTTTGACAAAAACACGCACTCCAAGTTTCCTTGCTATGTGCTGTGCTCAGCACTGGCTGCTTCAGGAGTACACCTCCCAACAAAAGGGGACATGGTTAACACGTGGCTGAGTCATGGAGCTAACGGTATAATTAGAAAACACAGGCTTGCTACACCCACATGCAGCTAATATGAAGAACAGTCATTCCTGATGTGCAGTAGCAAATGTTAAGGCATAATCTACCAGCACACTGCGAACCCAAGGTTTCTGCTGGAAAAAGGTATTTGTGGTTTAGGTTGTCAGGGAGTTTTTTTCTACCCCCTTTTAATTTATTTGTTTTTAACCACAAGGGAAAGCATTATTTCTTATATAAATCACACAAATAGCATCACAGAATGCCTTAATTCTGATTTCAGCAAGAATCCTTAACTCAAAATCAAGCACAGTATATATACTGTCTCTCAGCCAAACTCACCTCCAGTGAGTTAATTCCTTGAAGTAATTCTAAGCTCAAGAGAAACAAAAGAAGCCACACAGAAAGATACAGTGAACCTGCTGCTCACCATGCAAATCACTCCAGTACCTGTTCAGAAGTAAAAAACATTCCTCCAGCATTTGATACAGATCTAGTTTAATTGTGTAAGCAGAGAACAAGAGATCAGGAATAGATACCTCAGCAGGCTCCACAGTTACTGGGTTTGACCTCCCCAAAACCTCCCTCTAAAAGAGGGATACCTGTCCCAGGTGTACCCTAACTGCCCAGGCAAGCTTCGAGCTTTAGTGGCAACCACAAACAGCACCTTCCAACCCAAATTCAGAACAGTTTTAGAAAAAAGAGAAATAATTTCTTCACAGGGTGTCTATGTATTGAAGTCCAACTTAAACTTACTGAAAGATTTCCTTACTTCTTACACTTGAAACCAGAAAAAACCATAGAAGATGCAGTACCCTAGTAGCAGCTACATACTCTGTGCAGTTCCAGTTACCCTTTGTAAAAGGCACATGCTTTTTTTTTAAACATACCTAACAAGGGAAAGACGTGACCAAAGGTATACAATGACTCATATTAAGTGAAAACAGGACTCATTTTCAGATACTGGAGGGAATAGGATTTGAAACTAGAGAGACTTACATCAGACACAAAGTTACAATTGCTTTAAACAGCTGCACATCAAAACCTGCCTTCTTCATAGGCCTTTCCTGGAATAACTTTTTAAGTCAATCTATGTTTCTTTAGTGGAGCATAGCATCATTGTCTTTAGTCCTTACATAGTGAACTCACAGTCGTGTAACTTAAAGCAGTTTAAGCCTGCACTGTTCACACATTTCAACGTTTCATATCATCACAACTATGTTGTTTCAGCAGTAACACCACCAAAAATCATCCAAAAGGATATTTTAAACATATGCGGGATTGAGGCTGTTTGGTTTGTTTAACGTTTCCTCTCTTATTGCGTTCTAGGTTACCAACCAGATTCTGCCAGTGTGGACATACTCCTACCTCGCTCTCCTTTTCCCAGTGTTCCTGCTCACAGACTACGTGCGCTACAAGCCCGTCCTCCTCCTGCAGGGCATCAGCCTCATCGTCACGTGGCTCCTGCTGCTCTTTGCACATGGAGTGCTGGCCATGCAGCTGGTGGAATTCTTCTACGGCATGGTCACAGCCACCGAGGTGGCCTATTACGCCTACATCTACAGCGTGGTCAGCACCCAACACTACCAGAGGGTCACCAGCTACTGCAGGAGCGTCACTCTGGTGGCAGCCACCGTGGCCGCCGTGCTGGGGCAGCTGCTGGTGTCCTTAGCGGATGTGTCCTACTTCTACCTCAACGCCATCAGCTTGGCTTCCGTGTCCCTGGCGTTCCTGTGCGCCTTCTTCCTGCCCATGCCCCAGAGGAGCATGTTCTTCCACAGGAAAGATGCCCCTGAGCCTGTGCCAGGGCCTGCCAAAGGGCCGGCTGTGAGCGCTGCCCGCAGGCCCTCGAGCTGCCAAGAGGAAAGGAGCCCCGATCCTGCTGCCAGGGCCCCGGGCCCCCAGCCCCGGGCTGGCAATGCCGGGCCCCTCAGGCACACGCTGAGCGTGCTGCTGCGGCTGGGCAGGGACCTGAGGGATTGCTACGGCTCCCGCCAGCTCCTCTACTGGTCCCTGTGGTGGGCTCTGGCCACGGCCGGCTTTAACCAGGTGGTGAATTATGTCCAGGTGCTGTGGGACTTCCGGGCCCCCTCGCACAGCTCCGCAGTGTACAACGGAGCTGTCGAGGCAATAGCAACGTTTTTGGGTAAGCAATCATTAGCAGGTACTTGTAACCCATCCTGTGCTGAGGGACTCTTCAGCAATGTGTTTCGTGCCTTTCCATCTCCTGTGAGGACTAAAACCAACAGACAGAGATAAAACAGTGTGCAAAGCATGATTTTACTATAAACTTTTACAGTGGGCACTTCAAAATTAGTCTCAAAAAACATATATAAATAAGCTTTTCCTTCTTAGAGGAGACTCATTCTGCCAAAATATTTTAAGAGTTTTAAGTATACAGCTTTGTTTAGACCATATCTTTAACCTGAAATAAGCACATCAGAACCCTGTGCAATGATATCTTGCATACTCCTCCCAAATACACCTTAAGCTGACTGGTTTAAGAATAAAATAACATGTCAGCAGATACACAGCTCTAAATACTACTCAGAGCATACTGTGAAATTGTCTGTTTAGACATTGGATTAAAAATCATTCCAGTCTACGTGCTCCTCAACAAATATTCTGTGACTACATCTATGTCCTGATTGGCATGTTTGCCAGAACAAAGGTTGTGTGTTCAACCCCTGCATGGGCCATTCACTTCAGAGTTTGACTTGATGATCCTTGTGGGTCCCTTCCAAGTTAGAATATTTTATGAAACCATTTCTGTGATGTGACAAGGCTGAGAGCACTGTAATTGTTTACCCTTGAAAAACAAGGACTCTTATTAATGTGCATAGAGATTTGAAGGGGAGGAGCAAAGAAGATGGAACCAGGCTCTTCCCAGTGGTGCCCAGTGACAGGGCAAGAGTCAAGGGGCACAAAATCAAGTAAAGTTCCACTTAAACACAGAGGAACATTTTATTCCAAGGGTGATTTTAAACACAAACAGGTTGGCCAGAGGTGTGGACTTCATCCTAGTCAAAACCTAGGCACCATCCTGAGCAGCTTCCTTTAGCTGACTCAGCTTTTAATGAGCCATGTGACCTCCATCTCTCTTCCAACCTCAGCCATTCTACCTCTCAGTTACTTGGTCCACCCAAATTCCATTTCTCTTTAGCCAGAGAAGAGAAGGATATGGGTAAAGTGAAACTGCATTGACTTAGCTGTGCAGCACCAATACAGCCTCCTTTTGGAGCTCCCATTTACACAACTGTCTCCCCCTACATTCCCAGAGCTCTATCCCACACTGCTACAGGGAATTGTCAGGTTTCTTTTCCTCCTTGCAATCAGCATGAAAATCCATTTTACTGAAGCTACTCTAAAACTTCTAACTACTGCTCTGAGTAGTGTTCCCAAAGTCTTACACCCTCTGGCACTTGACACAATTTCAGACTACAGAAAGAAGGCACTCAAAGCACTGGGAACCACTGCTCATGGCAGGGATGGACCAAAGGGATTGGTTTGCTCCAATTTTTGGAATTCTGATGAAGAGAACATAGAACCAGCAAACAAAGTCCAGTTTTTGTGCTAGCCCACCTGAGAACATGGGGTTTGCTACACCGTAATAGACTCGAGTAAGGGTTTTGCTACATGTGATGGCCACTAAGACAAATGCAGTTTCCTAAGGCTTTTCACCAGAAACTGAAAATACACTTCCATTTAAAAAAAAAGCATGAAGTGCTAAGATTTTCTTTCTATAAAGAACTTCATATGAAGTAACTCAACTCATTATACATATTTTGGCAGAAAATGCTTGGTAGGATTGTTCTCTTTGCCCATAGTTGTCTAAAAATGGAGAAACAATAGATTGTGCACTGCTGCCTCCAGCCTTAGGCATGAGGCACTTTCCCAGAGCACTTCAGGCACTGAAGGGTCTAAGCAAAGAGGAAAACATCCAAACTAATGGAAGACTCCCACATCCCTAACAAGAAATACGATCCATACCATTACCAAAGTCCACTGTGAGCAAGACCAAAGAGCTCCTGGCATGATCCAATGACAGTTATGCAATGGCTCTCAATGATAATATTTCAAAGTCTTAATTACTACTTTTCAATTTTTAGGTTCAGCAACATCCATGGCAGTTGGATATGTTAAAGTAAACTGGGATCTCTCTGGAGAATTGGCTTTGGGAATTTTCTCTGCACTGGATGCTGGTTCTCTGCTTCTTATGCACTTCACTGACAACATCTGGGCATGTTATGCTGGTTACCTTGCATTTAAAGCTTGCTATATGCTCCTTATAACAATAGCAACGTAAGTACAACACACAACTGTTCTAACTAAATTGATTTAAATCACTGTCAAATTTTTATATTTATCAAAATTTTACTGGGCATTTCCCTAGATATAAATACAAATAGGTTATGACAGCAGCATATATTGTTTCTAGCCTGTGTAAAACTAGGTAAAATTATATGATCTAACCATTACCATAGCACACTCCAAGTCAGAACAAGGTGCCTTCTGCACTTGGTCATTCAATGACCAATGCATGAGCATTCTCAAAGTGATCCAGGGAATATACACAGGTATTTAGCAAAAATATTCACTCAAGATGCACAAAAGTCACAAAGCCAGAAAAAAACCTAATAAATTTCTGTCAAAATGAAGCTGATAAAGCTTAATAGCCAAGATTGCAGTGATCTTGTCCTTTGATGAGTGCACTGTGCCCATTAAACTGTTCCCATAAGTGCATCCACACGTCCTTGCTCTCCACGGTTTTGTGAACCTGTGCATTCATTGTCAGGTTTCAGATTGCTGTCAACCTCAGCATGGAGCGTTATGCTTTGATGTTTGGCCTCAACAACTTTGTTGCACTGGTGATTCAGACGATTTTAACTGTTGTTGTAGTAGATTCAAGAGGTCTGAGACTGGATATCAGCACTCAGGTAAGCCACTGAGTCCCACTGCTTAGTTCCCCTACTCTCCTCCAAAAGCAGGTTCTACTCCAAGATTAGCCTGTGGTAATGTGCAAGCTCAGGACAGTTACTCACCTGGAAAGACTCGTTTAAAATGAACTGGCTTGAACTACCTCAACCTGCTTGTTCTCTAGGCCTCCCAATATTGGGATGACTGGAAATATTCTATGTTCACAGAACAGAGGGGAAAGGTGACCACCTATTACTCTGGGTATTCTTTAAATTAAAGACTTACTATTCAGAAGTTTATAGTCAAAATACCCTTACCAGAAGCAGGAAGCCAGATGAAATACAACCTATTGGTGTATTACTAGGGTAATTCCAAGTTACATAGTTCCAGTGGATGCACCTTATAAGTTACTGTAATTCTGAAAATTAACTCATTGCAATTCCCCATTAAATTTCTAAAATTAGTTTAAACTGAGACACTGAATGAGTCTAAGACTCTAGGTTTCATGTTTCCAGAGAAGAAACAAAGTGCAAGACAGCTGTCCTCCCTTACTGAGGTGGGGAAGGACATATCAGAACATTGTCTCCCCCTTTTACAACAACAGAATTTCTATAGTGTAAAGTCAAGCAGTCCAGCCTTGTTGGATCCTCTCAAGATGGGGTCACTCTGGGCACAGGTGACAGAGAAGGGAAGGCAGCAATGGAGAGACACCCCTTAAGAGTAAAAAACTGGTTTTCCTCTTAGATAACTACTTTTCTCCTTCCCCACCTCCATTTCCCAGTTTCTCATTTATGGCAGCTACTTCACAGTCATAACTGGAATTTTCCTGATCAGAAGCATGTACACCATAATTTCCATCAAATGCAGAAATACAAGGGTGGCTGCTGAAAGCACTGCCCCTTAACAACCGAGACAAAAGCAATGGTTACAAGCAACAATGCAGAAGGCTCCATCACCTGGACAACAAATCAGGAGAAATATAATGTTCAATCAAGCAAATCTGGTCCAGGTTGAAGCAAGCTGTTTATGAGCCTACTGCACAGAGAGCTTTGTCAACAGGATGATGCATTTGCTCCATTTTCTTCACCAGCAGTTTAATACAAACATTCCTCAAACAGTCTTCTAATTCAAGTTTAGTGATCTGACATACAAACTTCTATTAAGGCTCAGTGAGCACAAGGACATACAAATGCTTGAACCTCACACCAAAGGAACTCACAGAACAACCTTGGGACTTTCCCTTCTACTGAGTATTTCAATTTAAGGCAATTTATTTACTGACACAAGACAGACATGCCCAGGGAATCTAAAGCAGCTGAACAATACAATGACCTGTCAGAAAATTTGTCACAGAGGCCTTTGGACATCTTAAAACTTTTTCAACTGGACATCGCATCTTACAGAACTCAGGATGGTCCTGCAAGTGTAACATCTTCTCACACTTGTAACAGCTGATGTTTAGGACTGAAGTTTAATCTAGGAGGTCTCCATATTAATTTCTGTATAAGGGGCTTAAAGTTATCAAGTGAAGTGCTTTGATGCTAAAGCATAAAAATACAGCTTTTAGGCAGGTATGCTATTTGCATGAACAATTGAGGGAACAACTGCAGAGATTTCCATGATAAAAACATTTAAAATCAGGGGTGAAAAATTCATTTTGTAAATAAAGCTATTTTAAAACCTAATCTGGTGTCAGTTTATGCTCAATATACAGAAGACTCAAAACAATGCAGGATCTTCAGCTTAACTGGAATTTGACAAAGCTAAAATCCATGAACACAGACTAAAGAGGTGTGCTTGTGTATAGCTGAAAGTAGCAAACTTTTTATCTGCAGTTAATTCAGTAATGAAAACTAAAGTATTCCACTACTTTGACAGCATATTCTAAGCTACATGCCTTGCATACTTCAATCAGTTTCAGAATTTCAGCAGTAATATTTGGATCAGAACAATCTCTATAGATGCTGATTTCATTAACCCTTGCCCAAAGCCTTACACCACAGTAAGTGAAGAGGGCACAGAACTGTTGCTCTTTCATAACACCTTTCATCTCATTGACAAGACATCTCTTTGATTTGATCCAGTTCTCTGCACTCAGCAGTTTTAAGTATTCCACAAGCCTACTGAACCCTTGCAGTTCCCCACTCTCCACTGCATTTACTATCTTTGCTCTTACTATCCAAAGCCAAGGCTGGGGAACAGGGAGAGTTACAACTATTTACACTGTGCTAAAATACAGTGGTGAGAGTAAGGGCGTCACTAATACTCTGCAAACCTCCAGTTGCTGGGGATTTCTTCAGTGAATTCCCCAGAGAATGTTGGGAACTGAACTGAACGCCACACTCTGTTGAGGAGTCTCCATCAGAAACAAAAGAGAGCCTTCAAGCCTGTTTTAAATATACCAACAGGACAAAACCAGACATTTAAGTATGGAAAACTTCCAGCATGTTTTATGAGCTGCCTATCTCCTGCTCAGTATCTCCAAAGTTTAAAAACCAAACACAAACAAAAAGAAATCACAACCCCCATAGGCAGGCAACAAAAGTCAAAAGCATTAACATAAATGTTTTTACAAGCAGTGGTCAAACCTTTCAAATGCCCTAGAAAAACCTAGCCAACATTCAGACAGTCAATTGCAAGTGAAATGTCTCACCTTGAATTTTTGTGTTTATCTCAAATGGACTTGCACGTCCTTTTTAAAAAAGGTCAATCTCACTTTATTTATTCCTGTTATCCTGAAAGCTGTTAGAATTTTATTCTCCAGCTGGTCAGAAACCTTTAAGCTTGTAGTTTATGTATTCACAACATACCTACATTATTTGCTTAGTTCCAGTATTACACTTGAACTGTAGCCAAATTATCTCTGTTTAAAACACCAACTACTTTGAAGCAGTTATATTATTCTTGAACCTTATCACTGTTACAGAGAAAGACAAGCCAGACGTTTTCCCTCTACAAATTTCACTGTAGTATGGCAGGAAATATTTCTGTAAATTAAAAAAAAAAATATATATTTCACAGGAACTCTTACTGATATGTATAAATTTTTAATAAAGAGAGGGCTATTACATCTGTGGTCCCTTGGCCTGCTGTTACACACTCTGTTCAGAATACAACTAAGGTTTGTTCAGAGCCTGTCAGTAGTTACCCATAACAAGGTGTCTTTTGCTGCAAACCTTCTCTCCAATAACTACCCTTCACAGTGCTTCCAGTGTCCCTCATGACATACTCAATCCAAACCTCACCTAACACTCTACTGTGTGACAGGTCACTTCACTTGAGCTAGAACAGCGAGCTTCATCACAAGGACAAAAAGAAACACATCCAAGTGAGGCATGTGAAAATTTGAAGCTTAGCTCACCTTTAAACACATTGGTTTGGACACCTCATCTGTGTACAAGACACAGTGCATACATTTTCATCCAGTGAATGTTACTGCACAGAAATAATGCTACACAGGGGTTTTTTTCTAATATTTATTTCTTCACCTGCAAACTGTAGCAAAACATGATCAGCTTTATTATGCAGACAGGTATCCCTCTAACATTAGAGATTTAGGCATGTATAAATAGAAGAGCTCTTAGGAAAGGAAAACATTTTGAGAAATGAACAAACCTTCAATTTAACTTTGTGACTTCCAATACCAATGGTTAAAATGATGCAGCTCATTCATTCCAAGAGATACAACAGCACCTTAAAGTGGCTGATCTATTCCCCAGTAACATTTTTCACATAACAATGTGTTAAAGTTACAAATACTGATATGCACAAATAGCTATTTTCTAAGAAAAATATGTACAGTACTGCAGCATAATGAGTGTGGTATCTGCAATAACTTATTAGCCAATTTTAATACACATGATACCGCTACTTTTTACCTGCCACTTCACAGGTTCAAGGATGTTACCACAGCCCTCTGTTTTGCACGTTATTACCTGGTGGGGGGTTGGTTTTCTTGTTTTTTGTGTCGGGTGGTTTTTTTTTTTTTCTTTTTGAAACTTTTTAAAGGTACACAATGCAGGCTTTTATTTTTACTTCTTAAAGACTTCTTTTGTGTTTAAAGCTAATATCAGTGAAACAAGACAACAGTGCAAGAGGCGCAGAGATGTTATGTGACCACATAAGAGTTCTTTTGGGTAAAGTGTCTATAAGGCTATAAGAAAGGATTGGTTGATGAGCTTCCTGTTGGAAATTGTCCTGTTGGTGCACCAGCCTGGGGGAAAAGGAACAAAGAAAAATAAGGCAAGTATTTAGGATTTTTTTCCCATTGTAAATCATAAATCAGAATATATTTAAAAAAACCTACTGGGGAATACTTCTGTTTTATATTGCAATCTGCTTTTTGCTGCTTCTCTGGAATTACACTACTCTGGGAACATGTATGAATGTACCTCTGCTTTGATCTGAACCTCCTTACAAATGGCATATCATCTGAATAGTGAGCAGCAGTGAGGACAGTCACATGCTTCCTTCCTTATTAAAAGCAAGAAACCCCCTAATCTTTGTGTATCTCTAAATTAAGTGTTACAGACTATTCTTTGGACATACAGAAGTCACTGACATGCAACAACTCACCATAAAAGGGTTACTAGATACTCCAACAGCTGCAACTTGTCCAAAAGGAGTTACTACAGGCTTTGCTTGACCAAATGTAGCAAAACCTGCTCCTTGGAAAGAAAAGGAAAAAAAAATATTAATACTAGTAAACAATGTTCAAAGAGTTCTTTGCTGCAGCTCCCAGCCAAAATTAAGAGTAAGTTTGAACTGCAGAATCAGCAGGACTGATCCTACTTAAACACAATCAGGAATGTAAGTGTAAAACACTGTAGCTGGGCTTTTTGTTTGTTTTCAACTGTTCACAACTCATCAATCTCCAATTCTACATATATGCTTTTTTCAATGTTATACCATATAAATTCAGGGAGAAAATAGTTTCCAATTTTCTCTTGCTTGTGTTCTATGAAGCTAGAGAAAGTGTAATAGTGTGTTGCAGACATCCCCAAACAGCCCTTCTTGCCTAAAACCCCTTTAAGCCTGGGAACACTTACCATTTCAGTATGAGATTCTGGTATAATTTCAGTTTGATAATTACACAATTGCACCCAGCCACATCAGAAGACTCATCTACAGTGGCAGAACAGTGTGGGAACCTTTCATCAACATTACTATCAAGTTCGTGCAGAAATAAATATCCTCCCGTTACTGCCAACTTATAGACAGACCATTTTCTCCATGTTTCTGATTTAGACAAGGTTATCTAAAATATGCAGACCTACCATTTGGCTGCTGAGCAAAAGCAGTCTGTTGAGGGAAAGCTGCCTGGGTTGGGAACGTGGGCTGCTGGAAGTTGCCACTATAACTAGTAGGAAGACTGTAGGAGGCAGGAGTTCCAAATCCTGCCGGCATGCTCATGGATGCAGTACCAAATGTTGCTGCTAGTAGGCAAAAAATAACATGCAATTATTTGTAAGAAATCTTTTTTTTTTTTTTTTCCATGAAACAGATTGCTATAAGGCCATGTTAAAAGTCTTCTGATGCCCTCTGTGACTGGATGAAAGTTTGATTCAACTTCCACAGCCACTGAACTGATTTGTTCCCTTCCATCACCACCAAGTGGGTGCACAATTTGCCTTTATACTTTAAAAATGAATGGTGTTATTTAAAATTTAGTAGATCCAGCACATTCAGATATACTTTCTGAAGAGGAAATTATTTTTTGTTCTCTGTGTTATCATATATTTCCCCCACACTTTTTCTGGTAGAAGTCTGTACACATAAGAAGCAAGCAGGTTCAGGCAGCCTAAGCCCCTCTGTTTTTCTCCTTCTGAGAAAAGCATGAAAGGATTTTCCTATTTCAAGCTGCACTACAGAAGGTTATAAATTAAAAAAAAATAAAACAAAAAACAAAGGGATACATGCATCCCATTTTATCATCCCATCTTTAATGTCTTTAAGGAGATTCTCACCATGCACATTATTTGCACACAAAGTTTCTGTTGCAAACCCTCTTACTGTTGAGGTAGAACTTAAAACAAAAAGAGCCCAAAACTTTTCATCTGATTCTCTGCTGAATATTTCAAGTAAAGAACACACAGCTCATAAGCATTTCCCCATGCCTTCAGCAAATAAACAGGAGCACATGAGGTGCAAAAGTATAGTAACAAAACCATTATTCAGTCTTTTGGGAGTTATTCTTGTAAAGAGAAGTGTATAGGAAGGTTTTTGGTACAAATACAGACACCAGGTATTCTATGCTAGTTAAACAGGACTTCTCTTTTGACATGTTACTATGCAAGCTCTATGTTTAAAAAAGCTAATAAAATAAATTTAATACAGCTTAATTATCAGTTGAAGTATTTACCCCAAAAGCGTTCAAGGGCAAGACATTATACAGACAAAGTGTAGACAAGTGCACGCAAAACTAAGGTACTAACACTGTTCTCAAGTTACAGTGAGCAGAGCAGCTACTCCACAGCAAACTTGGCTAAAACAGCAAAAAGAAGCACAACAAAATCAGCAGGGGACTTGGGATATCCCAAAAGGCATCAAACTACTGTTGGCATAAACTTCAGCAGTCATTCATAAGCACTATATGGTGACCATGGATGATACCAATAATGGTTTTGTTTTGGTTGCTCGACAGGATGTCTACGTATGCTCTTCTCTCCCTCTGCCCAGCTGCCAAATACCCACACCCACTCCATTTTTAAGAAGTCTTCCACAATTCTTCGTGCAGAGAACCAGATAGCTGTCAATAAGCTTTTACAAGCAAGAACAATTAGCCACAAGAAACTTGATACCAAATGTGGCCACCTACCAAAATGAGCCTGAGGAAATATGTGAGAGTGCATTGCTCCCGAGAGGCCTTATGGAAGCCACAAAGAGACCAGACAATGTCAAATCATTTATACACTCTTGAACAGTCATTTCTTAGTTTTATATATATATATATAGAGAGAGAGAAATAGATACACATATATGTACCAAACAGTTCATCAACAGCATGACCAGCAATAGATTAGTATTAGAAAACCATCAGACATAAGCTCTACAAAGCAGATCTCCCATGTACTAAATAACAAAGTTCATGCAGGAAGAACACAAAAGCACAAGCCATAAGTTTACACCTTACACTGAAAGGGGCTGAACATTATCTTTACTTGTACACATTATCTCTGTCACCTACTGTGGAACATCAGGATGCTGCCAAAGGCTTGGAACCTCAGCAAGCCAGGGACAGCTGCATAGAAGGTGGAAGGACAGAGGTGCCACATTCAAAGAAATTTATCTAAAGAGGCTACAAATTCTTAATGATGATCTAAACTAGCCCATTTAGAAATGGGATTAAAATAAAGAAAAAGGGTATTTTGGGCATTAAATATCTAACAATAGCTAACAAATTTACCCGCATAATATCTCAAAAGGGATTGAAAACAGAAATAATTTCAACAGAGGACACAAAGTTATCAAATCAGTTTTTAACTCAGCCTACCTAAATCACTGAGCAACCCACAACTCAAATGGCAAAATGCACACATCAGCAGATTTTAATCTGTTGAAGTCCAGCTAACAGATAAAAGTGTCAAAATTCAGCAATTGCTCTGGGGAGGAAAATCAGCATAACCTAGTAGCCATCTAATCCAAGTTCATAGTTTTAAAGAAGTTTGCTTTCTTAAAAAGTGATGAAATTTTGCCCATAGAATTATGATTCTACAGAACCATCCCACAGAAAATTAATATAAAAAAAGTGCAAAGATTAAACATACACTTTAAAAAAGAGACACTAATGTACTAATTAAGTGGACTGATGAGGAGCTAGCATCCCAAGAGCCTTGTGATGAGTCTGACTCCAGCTCTTGTTTTGAGAGCTTTCCACGCTTCAAAATAAAGAAATTAACAAGAAGGGCTTTCAAAATCCTTGATTTCAGGGCTTCCTTTTATGAGGCATGCTCTAAAGCCAAGATTACAGTCTTGGAAGGAAGCCAGCTGGTGATACATCCACTATAAACAGGTAGAGCTCAAACAGATCATTTTGACATTTTTCATTGCCACCATTTGAAATCCTAGACTTGCACCTCAACACTGAGCAAACACACAACACTTCAAATAGACTAGGGACAGATAATACAGAACATCTTTAAGAAACATATTACACAGATACAGGAAAAAAGAATCAATGCAATTCTTTAAAGAAAGTTTCTCAAACACTCAAAGTATTTATTTTCTAACCTGTTGCTCCTCGGCTATTGGTCTGGAATGGATTTGTTGAAGGTGCCACTGGGGCAACAGGGGCAGCTACAAATGGATTTGTGGAAGGTGTTGCTGAAAGATTAAAGACATTTTATTAAGCAAGCATTTCTCTAACAGCAAATCTGACTCACATGAAGCCTATACAGCCTTTAAAACAAACACACATAAATGCCTAAAATTAGGCCAAAACTCAGGAATGTATAAGATACAATACAAATACAGTTAAATACAATAAAAATACAGAGGTACTTTTTGTTAATAGTACCTTTATTAGCTTCAGTAGTAGTAGTATCAAAGCAGAGCATAATCAAGTAAATAATACTAGATTGTTTGCTTACAGTCCCCAAAGGGTGGTTGTAATACTTCCATACCTCCAAATGGAGCAGGCACACTTGAAGATGCAGGCTGTGTCTGTGCAGTAGCAGCTACAGGTACTGTTCCAAAAGCATTGCTGGAAATAATTTATACAATTCATTCAGTGAAGTCAGAATTGCTTGTTTAATAATTAAATACAATTTACAGTTACTCCTGGCATGTAAAAGAAAGGGGATAAACACTTTTGTGCAGTTTGCAGACTGCAAAGTACCTCCCTGATGCCAGGGTCAGACACTCTCACTAGTGCTGAGCAATGAAATGTCATCTCCACCAACAGCAGCAGAAGGAATATAGAGCTAAGGCCAACAGCATAAAGGTTGCTTAGCAGAAGCCTTAGGGGCACTTGCAATGCCAAGCCCCTAACAGGCATTTGGTATTTGTTACTTAAGTAATCCAGAAAAGAAACGGGTGGCACCATTTACATTATAAATATCTGAATTCTTTTTTCAGGGATGATCCTACGATTTTGAGTATGCACACAACTACTCTGCAGAGCAAAGTACTAACAGGTTCAGCATGTCATGACTAGAAAGGTGCAGAGAACAATCCACTGAGAGCGTTCTTAGAGTATGCTAGCCCTCAGTCCTGCCATTATTGAAAACAAGAGATACAGTTTCAGCAGTACCTCTAAATTCATTCAGTGCTTCCCCGTTTAGATAAGACCAGATTTGAGAAAGGACTCCCAGCTGCTCTGTGCTGCTGCAGCAGCAGCGCGGGGCGCGTACCTGCTGACGTTACTGGTGGCCGTGTACGCGTTGCTGGAGGTGGCCGTGGAGCTGAACACGCTGTCCAGCTCCGCCAGCGCCGCGTACTTGTCCGAAGATGCGCTTGACTGGTTGGGGGCTGACAAGGCAGGGCCTGCTGAGGACACTGCTGTGCTGAAGCCACTTCCCTGCTCACTCCCACCTAGAAAGAAAGCAAGCAGATTAAGCACACTGAGATGGTTTCACTTTCTGCCCTGCTGACATTGAGAACTAAAGGAAAGTTCACAGACGGTTGCAGACTTAAAGATTAAATATGCACTAGGGGATAGAGGAAAAAGTATTTAACAAGGCATTAGCTGTTAGCAGAATGTCCTGCCTCTATAGGTACTCTGCAGCCCCAAAGAGCTTTTGTTTTCCTAGAAAAATAATCCATTCGTCTTCAACTAGAAAATGAACAGAACACCTAACCTCAAATAATCCATTTCAGAACTAACCTCTGGAGTACAAATCAACATAATTTTTAAGACTCCATTCAAGAAGAACTATATTTGAGTAACAGAATAACTAGCTTTTTCTCCTCAATTTACTATCAACTAAATCCAAATATCACTGCTCCTATTTTATGAAAAACTAAAGCCAGCTGTTTTTGTGGCAGACAGGTAAGAAAGCTGCTCTGGTAGCTCTTTGCAACAACTGCAGCTCTTCACTCCAGAGCATCCACTATAGATTTTAGTACAAATATAAAATACAGATTTGTATTTTTGTATGTTTTCACTATTGAAGTAATGATTATTTAGATATTTTAATTTTGAACTACTCATCTCAATGGGAAATAGGTTCCCAAAAAGCATCATTTTGGAATAATGTCTTAAAACTCGAATTTTGCACGTTTAAGGGTACATTGACAGAAAATTCTAGAGATCACTTAGAGAAGGGAAATTTTGAAATACTGTTACAGTACTTCAACAAGCACAGTCATCCTTGTGGTAACTATACACATATAGAATAACCATGGCAAAAAAATAAAGTTTAATACCTTGCCCTGCACTGAAGATATTATCTAAATTAGCAAGAGCTGCATATTTGTCAGCTGACTGAAGATTCAGTTTATTCACTGCAGCTTTACTGGCTGCAGTTGCTGTGGCGTTGCTCTGAGAAGCATTGAAGGATCCAAAATCAGCACTGGAGGATTTGGGGAAGTTATCAAAGTGAGCAAAATTAGCATTCACTGATCCAGCACTTCCACCTGTAACAAATTAAGTTAAACATGATCAATGCTCCAAAGTTAGAAAGTCTCTCCAACTGTAACTGATGGTACAATAACCCTCCCTTTGTGGCTATGTGAGGCAATGTGCTTGCCTGCCCCATCCTACCCATTTAAGGCTCTTTGCCATTTCCTTCAGAGTTCAGTGGGCCGTCAGAAAAATACTATAATACAGTGTTTTGACTGTGTATCAGGGATAAACACCCCAAACTTCAACACTTTAAACCACAGTCATAATTTGATCCTGAAAACTATATGCTATTTTCAGCTGTTAAAAGTAATTTCAACAATAAAAGCTTCCTAGAAAAAGACTTATTTGTCTTAATCTTTAATATTCAAAATACAGAAGCTTCATTTCCCTACCATAAGTGGCTAACAAATAGCTACTATTTACATTTACTTAGTGGTTCAATGTTTAGTCATTTCAGATGTCAGCCATAATCCTAAGCAAAAAAAAAGTGCCTGGAAACCCAAAAGTTATGCAATTTCATGCCCAGGTTTAGAGTTTGGTTCTCTTTTCTCAAGAGTTTTAGACTGCAACCAATCAGGAAGGAGGTTGGGGGAAGACACAGCACAGCTTTTTTATAATAAATCTCCACTGAAGTCAGAGATACATCAATTTTGGAAATTTGATGTGAGTCCACACAACTGAACTTCAGATCAAGTATGACACCATGAGCTTCCATCTCTTCATTGTCCAGACAATTTAATCTAGGCAGGTCACATACTTAAATTTAAGTGAGTAGTTCCACTAAGTGAATCGCATTTTATAACAGTTGTTGATGATTCCACTCATACTACAGAACTTTCTAAAACAGAAACACAACTTTCTAAAAGCATAAGCAACAAGTTGAAACATATGCAACAGTAGGAATGGAAGTGCTATACTACAATGGCATAAAATGAAGCAAGCTGAGTTTTCCACTGCGTGGAACTTACTGTGTACAGCCTGGAGAGGAAAAGCTGAAGTAAATTCACCAAAACTGCAGCTAGATGAAAGCGTTCTGAACGCTGGACAGCCAGAAATTGTGTGTGGGTTAAAGTTAACATAAGAAGGGAGAAAGAAAATTTGAAAAAAAAGTTTAAAACAACACCACACTCAAAAGAAAAAAAAAAGGAAAAGAAAGTCAGTCAGCCAAAGATCTAGACAAACAGCAAGTGTAAACTCAAGCAGAAGTTCTAAAGCATGATCAAATTAAAGGAAAGCAAAATAAATCAGCAATAGGCTCTACACATGAAGTCAAACATATTTAAGTGTGTGCATATGCTATACATATGCATAGACACACACTCGTTTGGTACTGTGACATCCTTTTGAATCTACTGAAGTGCTTCTCTTAGAAGACAGAGTCAATTCAATACTTATTAAAAGCAGTAGAGTTTATTCTTTTCATAGTTATTTCAGGTGTAGAGCTAACAAACACAGTGCCATAAATCAGACTTCTGAGTAGCATTAGGGGAAAAAAAAAATCAACACCAAACACAAGGAATTCATTTTGAGTTTCCCCAGAGCTTCAGATGGTTTGATCACATTAAAGCAGGCAGATGCAAGAAAAAACTCAACTTCAGTACCTTTCAACATAAAGGTAAGGATTATTTCAATTAAGTATTAATCAAAAGTGCTAGGACTTCTACCTGTATTTTGGGGCTGAAAAGGAGACTGACTTGCTGTGGGGAAACCTCCAAAATTACTCGAGCCACTAGACTGTCCAAATGCATCAAAGTTTGCAAAACCTGCATTGGCAGAGTTCTGCGCTGTAAATCGCAAAGGAACAAAACATGTTAATGGATATGGGAAATAAACACAAAAACAGATGTAGTAACTGAATTCATGGTCATGACAGCCTTCAAGGGTTATGTCCTACCATGCTGCTTTTGACATGAAGAAAATGACATGTTATTCTACAGCTGAAAGTTGTCTTTGAACACGCTCTCTCAAATCACAGAGCTGGATCAATTAATGCTACTTCTGTCCTTCCCACACAAGCTGCTACTCACAACTGCATGAACCAATGGAATCCACTCCAGCTTAACCCTAAGTGTTTACAGTGCTGGCTGCTCAGGAAAAAACAGCCATAAAGTACAAAATAACTAGTTGCCAAAACTAGAACCTGCGAGCTAACTGAACATTTCTTTGTGCATAAAAATCAGAAGGTATTCTTGTAACATATTGGCAATTCAAATTCCTCATACACCAAGTGCTTCTTCCTCAGGTGATTTGGTTGGCACAGCTTGAATAGTTTTGGCTAGATTTATAAATTCATTTAACTGGAAAATTCCTTCTTTAAAAAAAATAAATCAGAGTACAGAAATATTGAAAATCAGTAGCAGTGGCATTCATAGTGTATCCACAAAATAAAACCCAATGAAATTTCAAACAGAATTTCAGTTTTCGCCTTCCTTTCGTGCCATACTATAGGAGAAAACAGAAGTTAACACTAATCTGATTTTGACTAGCTGGACATGCAAGCATCTATAGATTCAACAGGGATTGCACACCTAAACTGGTAAGGTCCACAGAAGCCCTTTAACACTATTATAAGCAAGAAAAAAAAATGGTTTTAATTAAATGCAAACCAAACCTTTTTATAAAGATAACTTGAGTTCCTACCTAAAGAAAGCTCACGAAACACCTTCTGGAATAACAGATGGCAATACATTATATTTTTAGGTTAAAGTTTGTTTATTTTGGAGAGATTTTGCAGATTAAGTATATACAAAGAGAATAAATTATGCTGATTGCTGAAGTACTGTAACTTAATAATCTGATACTGCTAATTAAAAGTTTTATTATTTCAATTAATTTCTATTCAAAAGCATCTGTACCACAGACTTATAAACTGAAAGGACATTTTAATACAAATTACTGTACTCCACAATGTTGCTAATATAAATTAGGAGGAAAGTGCCTGCATTTTCTTTCCCAGAGTACCCTGGGAGAGAGGATGAGGTTTGGCTGGACTCAATACTACATTTAATAAACCATGTGTATAAGCATTAGGTTACAGAGCATGGTTTTGGCAGCAGGGAGCAGCCAGGGTGGTCCCTGTGAGGACAGAACAGAAGCTGCCCCCATTGCTGCACAGCTGCTGCAGCTCCAAGATTGCCCCACCACTGCCCAAAGCTAAGGATACCAGCAGTGCTGGCTGGGGCACTGTGTTTAAAAAGGTTAAAAACCAGTGTGCAGCAGCTGTGGCAGAGAGGAGTGAGGAAAACGCAAGAGAAAACACTGCAGATACCAAGGCCAGCTAAGAGGGAGGGAAAGACATGCTCCAAGCCCATGGAGAAGACCATGGTAAGGAAGGCAGTGCCACTGCAGCCCATGAAGGACCATGGTGTAACACATTCACACTGCAGCCTGTGCAGGAGCCATGCCAGGGCAGGTAGGGAAGGCATGAGGAGGCTGGAGCTCATGGAAGGCTGCTGCTGGAGCAGGTTTTCTGGCAGGAGCTGTGACCTTGCCTGAAGGACAGCACCCCATGGAAAGGGCCCATGCTGGAGCAGTTCTAGAAGAACTGACACCCATGGCAAGGGCTCACATTCCAAGAAGTTTGAGAAGGACCATAACCCATGGCAGGGGAAGGACCCCACACTGGAGCAGGGGAACAGCATGAGGAAGAAGTAGCAACAGAGACAAAATCTTCCTACTTAACTGCAATGCCCATTCCCCAGCCCCCTCATGAGGAGGAGCTAATATGGTCAGGAGTGAAATTACACCTCACAAGAAGGGATGAAGGTGGGTTTGGTTTGACTTTTTACCTATCCTACTCTATTATTAAGTGTCAACAAACTAAATCAAGTCTAGTTTGCCCAGTTACTTTCTCTTGACACATCAGCTTTTTTGTGTCTTCTCCCCCAACCCTGCTGATGGGAGAGTGAACATACAGCCCTGTGGGCACCTGGAACCCACCACAGCATGAGAGTCAGCAAGGAAAAAAAAATCCAAGTGAAAGCAAGATCTTGGGAAAGTTATTTTCACCTTTGAAGTATGCAAAAAGTTGGCACAAACAGACAAAAAATTACTTCCATGATGTCCGCTGTATTGGTTCAAACAGCATTTTACAGACTCCAAATCCCAAAGTTTGAGTTGTTTTGGTTTTTAAACCAGTAGTTTTTAATAGGAATAGATTAAGAATTTACTTTAAAAATGAAAGTGATACTTTTACCCTAATGCATCAATTGGACAGGCAAGAGACTGATGTTTAGACTGATGCAAAGAGGATTAAGTATTAAATGTCACTTCTAGAATAAGGGCAAGATTATTCCTTTTAACCACTCACACAAACAGAAAACTATGTAAATCTTAAATGAAATATCTTTTGGGTTCAAATGAAAGACTGGAGTGTATTACATCACAAAACACTTCATTTTACTGTATCAGCTGACACAGAAAGGATGACCTTCAAGTGAGCCCATGTTCAAACAGTATTGCTGTAAAGCCTCTTCAGCAGAGTATTCTGATATTAATCTTGTTTTATTTTATGCAGTAAAACTTCAACCTTTGTAAATGTGACACAAAAGTAAAGACCAGGTAAGACTTGTACTCTCCTGCACCTGGACAATATGTAGATTGCCAATTCCAAAATTCAGTTCTCCACACAAAAACCCAAGAACAATCCTAAGTAAGTTCAGGAACTGCAGAGAGTTGCAGGTTGCCAGGGATTTACAGCTGCTCTTGACACTGCAGACCAACAAGGCAGTACAAAAGCCAGTTGGCTACAGCCAGGGATGACAACACCAGTCATGGCAATGCCAGCTCCTCCCACAATCTCTGCAGTTTCTTCTGTGAGGATTGTACTACCTCTTATGCAATAGAGGTACAAAACACTGCTAAACAGAAAAAAACTAAAATAAAATCTACATATACCCAAAGTAAAAAAAAAAAAAAATCTCTACAAAATAACTCATACTATTTTGCTTTTTCTAGAGAAAGCCTCTTCTCCCATGTTATCAGTAGTAAAGTTGTGCTGTGTCACTACACCTTTGTAAAATCTTTTATGCAGGTCATCTGTTTCATCAGTTTTTAAGAAATGTACGTGCCAAAAAATGTGATCCTTGTTGCGATTACCAATCTATAAAGTACAGACAAATCAGTCATGTACCATCTGCAAAATCTCGATTTTGCAGAAATTACAGAACTCCGTAAATTAAATACCAACAGCAAATATAAGGTCAATATGTTTCCCCTTCAATTAGCAACAATATCCTGAACCAGCTTAATACATGAAAGAACTTGGAAAGCAGAAACACATCACAAATTGCAGTTCCTGCATAATTTTCAAGATTTACACCTACACTTCACAGATTACAGCACAAGTTTGTTAATATTTTCCTATCAGCTGCTGCACTCAGTAACTTATACTGAAGGATCTTATGTTTGCTGGTCTCTTCAGTGATTTAGTTGGTATTGTGTACATCCCTTATACACACAGCTAAAACCAAGCTCTAAAACAAGAAGACCAGCCTGTAAACTTCAAGAAAGTAGTGCTGGACTAAGTGCACATTTTCCTATCCTCCTTAGCAGTGTGTAATTGCTAACAAAAATTACATGTTTATACAGCTCCTTAATGAGCATTTCAAACTCAATTTTGCCAAAGTTGGCAGACTGATCAACCCTCCTTGCGTTCCAAAGGAAGAGTCTGTAACATTTTGTTATTCTTTTCACTAACACCACCCAGTACTTACTGCACACAAGATAAGCCTTACAAGCATTTTACTACAGCAAGTCAGGAAACACCCTCAGGTAACAAGTCTGCAATACACGTTCAGCTACCACACACTCACAATCAGGTTTCTGTCTTTTAGAAACTGATTTACTAGCCCTGATACTGCTTGGGGCTCTAAAACCTATAGTAAGAAGTCATGGGAATGACCACAATGGTTAGTTTGTGGCCAGAAATTAACAGACTCTCTCCTCAGATTTTATTTATTCTGGAGTGTTCCTATAGCTTTCTATCCTTCTAAAAATTATCCAGCAGAGACGCAATGAAATTTTACCTAGATTTGGAACACAGTACTGAAATACTGCTTTAATGGAATTTTTATCTCCTAAAAAGCACTAAAAATAATAAAGGGTATAAAAATAATCATTAAATAATCATTCAGCAACAAGTCTGGAAAGAAATTATTAGAAAGAATTAACCATCTGCAGCCTTTTCAGTAACACTATACAGCACTGGCAGCACAAGTTCTCCCAGTTACATACACCCACAAAATTATGATTAACAAGAAATCTAATTTTAAGGATTTTACAGAACACACAGAATAACAATTGCTGTTGCAGTGTTACTGAATTCAGACATTTATTTCACATTAATTTCGATAAATCTTGGTATTTTGCTCAGTTCCTCAGGTGTGAACCTTAAGTCCAGTCTATGATACTTTATCTTGGCTGTTAACAGTTTCAGGAGTGATTTGCAAGAAATCTCTCTAGTTCTGAGTGGCCTAGCAGCATCACAGTTTCTCTCAGAACAATGAGATGAAAAGCCCATTCAGACCAGGCAAAGGTACTTTCCCACAACTACAAGGCAAGCTAGCAACAACAAACTTCAGTGACCACAGAATTGACTTTCTTTTTAGGATACACTTCTATGGCTCTTGGTCTTTGGCTGGGAAAAAAAAACCCTGAGGGTTCAATATATTTTACTGAAGTCATCCTCTAAGAATTCAAGGCCTATCCTCTTTCCTCAGTCAATACATATGCTCCAGGCTTGTTTATCCTCCCTGAAACTACAGAATACTGCTCACATGGGCACTCAGCTTTCAGACACACACACACACAAAAGATGAGATCACTCTTTAAACTGGCTAAGCCTTGGTTTTTCCTTTGACAAATTGGCACTTATTATCAATGCATTTGAACTCCTTTAAAGTCTCTGTATCTGCTTGCTTTTCATGAATGCTCTTCCTAATAATTTTCAGAAAGAAAATTGAAGGTCTAATATCAGATTCTCCCAACATTTCATTACTCATTCTCTCACTCTCTCCCCCCAAAGAACCTAAAGTTTAGTAGTAGGCAGAAGCAGTGTAATCACACATATCCTAGAGAATAGCTATAGCAACCCCCACTTCCAAAAGCAGAATTGTCAGTCTTTATGTCTTCAACCCTTCTTTATAAAGACCTGAAATAAACTTTCAACAATACAACATTCCTAAGGCACAGAGATTACATACGCCTCATGAAGTTTAGCCAAAAGCCATCAAAATTAAAGCAACATTTTATACAATTAAAAGGGATACAGTAGTCCAAATACCTACCTGTATGACTGTTGAAGTGTGCAAAATTAGCAAAATTTGCTGTAGCAGTTGACTGAGGAGGAGCAGCAGCAAAGATATCTGAGCCAAGGTCACTGAGGAGGTCAAATTGTTTCTTTTCTTGTTGCTGCTGTCCTTGAGATCGAACTACAACAGGAGACTACAAACAAGATTTCAATTAGCTAGTACAAAAAGGTGATATTTTACCAAACTGATATTTACAAAATATTAGAAGGCTAGACTAAGCTTATTTCTTTAACAAGACATTTATTCCTGAAGTTTAAGATGCTGAATGTAGCACACACCCTCCTCCTACAGTATGAGGAAGACTATTTATGCTCCTACTCTGGCTCTTAAAGGAACTCTGCTGCAGATTTACATGGTTTAATAGCACCCAGAAGACTAAAGTAGCAATATATTATTAGCAACTTCAGATTTTGTATTTGAATCTGTAAACACTGTACAAATACAAGCAACAAAACTTAATTTTACAACATAGAAAATAGTTATTCACCATATTATGAAAAAATCATTAGAATCCAGTGTAAGGATAGAAAAATTGAAGAATTTAATAGCAGGGCTTGAAGTTGCAACTTTCTACTGTTTGAGTTAAAAGAGGTCCATTCAAGAGTTGCCTGTATCTTGATGGCAGTTTTCAAACAAACTGTCTTCCCTCCAAAAGTCTAAGTACACAGTGTTGTTTGACTTTACATTACAACATACAGATGTCCCCTGAAAGCCAATTAAGACAGTTTCAGAATGCATAGGAAGCCATAATAAATGACACGCTTTCATCCACATATTCACTACTAATCTCAGTTAACAACACCAATCATTTTCTTATTTTCAAAGAGAAAATGCAAAAATGAAAACATAACACATTAAGTCCAAACTTTAGAGGTATTTATGAAAAAGACAATTAATTAATCCTATCACAATGGAAAACTTTATTTACTGAAAATAACCACTAAAAAATCAATTTGGTCAATAGAAACAAACTTCATTTAGTACCTGATCTGCAAACATGCATATACTTCAGTAAAATATGACATACAGTGATCACATTAGTTCCTACAGATCACAGCAGCTGTTACTGCAAGAATTTCTGTGCCACGGGAAGAGTAACAAGGAACTGCAGAACAGCTCTGTGCTGCTCAGCAGTCATCACTCACTTGGCTAGGTGTGCCCTTGTTTAAGTGCAGTGCGGGTGCAGCTTCTCCCAAGAGAGATTTGAGCGGCTTCACCTCAGGTGTGCTGCTTGTACTACTGGCAGAAGAGCCCGATATGGATGCATGGACTGATGCCACTACCTTTGCTTGCTCTGGAGGAACATACCTACATGCAAGAAGAGCAATGGTTTTTACAAGTTTCACATGAGAAATTCTTGAGTCTGAAGTTGACAACTGGTAGATCTCAGCTTAGCTCCTGAAACCCTGATCCTGGAATGGACTGTATCAGCAGTTTGCAAAGTACCCATTCTTTAAATATGAGAGAGATTTTTTTTTAATGGACTAGAATTTAAAGTCATCAATACTTTCAGCACTTATTCAATACAAAACATGCCTTTCCCATACTAATAAATCAGATGGGAAATAACAGTTTGCAAAACTGTTACTTTACACTGTTGTTGATATCCTCTTAAGCCGTTTCTATTCCATCAATATGAACATTGAGAAACTTTTTTCGTTTGTCTTCTCTGCTTCCTGTAGGAGCTCTAAAGTTCAGAAATCATTTCACTTTACAGAGCTGTGTAATCTAGTCTGAAGAGCACACTCAAAGAAGGGAAATAACACTCAAAATGAGAGCAAACAGTCCATCTTCCTTCTCCTCATAGGGGCAATCTTTATAATAGCAAAGGTATCTTACCATCTTTTCTTTTCATATTTTTCCTGTAGAAATTCCTTTACTTTCTGTGGATCCCTGAAGTCTGGAATTGCTGATGATCTATCATCAAATAGGCCTAGCCAAATCTGTTTGCACACCTTAATAAAAAAACCACAACAACACAGATTAATCAGAGAAAATACCTTAGTTCAGAACCCATTTATATTTACTATTGTTAATACATTAAACCATTAAAATGTGTGGCTGCATAATTTATATTCCAGACTGAGCTGCTGTAACAACTGACTGGTGCACCATGCACCTGTCGAAATACCTAAAGTTGAGTGTCACAGCAGGGCAAGCAGATCCCTACATCCAATTTCACCATTCAACACTCCTTTTACAGAGTATTTGTAGAATGTGCTCATGAAATGCAAAGCACCTGATTTCTACTTGCAATCTTTAAGATTCTTCTCCTTCACCTAATTCTACACATTCCCTTATTGTACTTCAGGGCTTAAAACTGTTTCAACAGATTCCATATGCCTTAAGCCTCAGATTTTAAAGGATCCAAGTTTCAGTATTTATACTTTTAATTACTATTTGAGTACAAGAACTGTTTGTCCAACAGCCTTTGTTACCATGATGCAGTTTCTACAATACCATATACATTTGAGTGATGGTATGAGATAAGGGGTAAAAATACTCTTGCTCCAATTTAATTTTCTAATTGTAGTTATGAGTGAGCAAAAGTTTAATCACTTGCAAAATTCTCAGCATGTTCAAGCTTCAATTCCTGAGCAAAACAAGACGAAAGGTGTTTTCAAAACTAAACAAGGCATAGGAGTTTTAACTTGAAATGTTTTAAGCCCTTCAGACTATTCTGCAAGTAACCTGAATATTCACCCAAACAATAACAGCAAACATTAGCTGCCCTCAAAAATCCCAGTGCCCTTTTAGAACAGGTTTCTTCCAGAGAAGCAGTCAAAAAAGCTTTGTTTTCGTGATACATACCTTTTCTTCCCACACCCTTTCTGAAATCGCCCTGACCATCCCTCCTACTTGCCAACTACAAACACACCCTCTGTCTCTGCAAGTGTCAGGTTTTCAACATTTTCCCCAGTGACCTTCAGACTCTAACAACCAAGAGCAGCAAACCTGATTGCTCTGAAATTTAGCAAGTTGAGGGAGAAGCTGTGATACCCCCACTTCAGCATCTTCCCCAAGCTACTTGGCAAACGTGATAAATCTTATAGGTCATTTCAAAGATTGCTCAGCATTAGAGAAATTAGGCAGGCATCCTAACTACATATTTCATATTTGATGTTTCAGTTCTAAATAGTCCAATTGCATATTCAACACCTAACAGTCGTTATTACCAACATTATCATCATCATCTACTGGATAGCAACAAACAACAACGGGAAGCAGATCTAATGATCAAAAGATATTTTTAAATGTGTACTTATATAGCTAATTTAGAGCTAAGATCAGTAGTTACTATCTCAAACTCAGCAATTCTGCATTCCTTCTGCAATTGCACTCCACAACAGGGTCAAGTTTAATGCACTGATTTGAGTTCTCAAAATTAAACAGTCACTTACAGTATTGTAATAGATAAAATAAAACTTAATATATTTGTTTAATACATCTTTATACAAAATTAAAAGACAAACAGTCAAAAAAGTCACAAGTCTGTTCTAAAGTAAAAGCTAATATCAAGAATCACTGTTTTAACAGTATCAATCTTTCACAACTTTTTGGCAACAAAACATATAAAGTCAGAATATTTATGTATGTAGCTTTAAACTTGCAGTGAATAGCCTGAAGTGAGCCAGCAGTAGTATTTCCATACTTAGATTTGTGAGTATAACTATACAAGCAGCAGTCATATGATTGCTAGGAGGAAGACAAGTTCTGCTTGTGGCTATTTACAGAATCTCTAGCAGCAGGAGTTGGTGGTGTTCAAATCTACACAGTCCCTTCCCAACCCCAACTTCAATACTGGAAAGAATATCAGGAAACACTGAAGAAAAGAAAAATTGTGCTTAATTTCAGACAAGCAGAAAGACAAATGCTACAACAGTCCCTACTTGATTCTGCTCCCAGCACTGTAACGCTTGGGGCTCTACCATGATAATCAGTTTGCATCCATGCTGAGATGTGCTGGCAAATGACAGAGGAGGGCCTCTTCCCCACCCATACCAGACCATCTATTTACTTCTTCTCCTGCCACCCAAAACAAGTCAGATCAAAGAAACTCATCACAATTACCATGTCACTGCTACCATTGAAACCTGGAGGAGATCAACTCACAGCAACAAACCACAACCCAGTTTTTCATGTTTCTCCCTCCCAGTTTTCTGCTTCATCTTCCTCCTGAAGTGCCTGAGCATTTGGAGTGAGGGGGGAAGAAAACAAAACAAAAAACCCTCAAAACAAACAAACGAGAACTCCCAACAACAAACAATCCAAACCAAAAAGCCACCACAGCTCCGTGTCAATGTCTCAGGCCATCATGACCACTAGAGGCAATTTCTGTGAGGACTCAGAAAACAAGGTGCTGTGTGACTTCAGATCATTACCAGCTACAGAGCCATAGTAGATACAGTTCTATGAATATGCAAACAGGAACGGAGGAGGACTGTGCTGAACAAACACCTGTTCGTTTAAAATGATGCAAGCGTCTTAAAGGCATCGGCTCTTCCCACTGCACTGCAATTTTTGCAAACCTTCACAAAACAGGCTTCCAAAAGTGTTTCCTGGAGCAACTAATTCCTTCTGAATACCTAACCACAAAAGGAAGTAACAAATGAAATATGCCTCAAGTCACTACTGTAATTAATTTAAACAAACTGCCAGGTACTCTGTGTTCTTCTGTTCCTGGTAGCACAGAGAACAGTTTTACTAAATGGGCAACCAATTTTACTACCAGTTTCACTAATGGACAACCACTAAGACAAAGAACCTACTTAGTCACACACACACTTCAAGACATTCTCATTGTACCAGAGTCCGACTGCAGGAGCTGTACAAATGCAGTGGAAAATATTTACCACACCAAATGCAAATTAAATTTCACCCAGGTTTCTTAACCTAAAGAGTTATCACAGGAAGTACAATTTCTTAAAAGTTCTTAAAATGGACAAGTCTTAAACCAAAACCAGACACCCACGATAGATAAGAGCAGTTTGGATTAGTGGGAATGATGGAAAGAGACTGTAAGATTGTAAGTGGGTGTACAACATGACTGGAATACGAAGGGTAAATCACATCCTCATAAGGGCATTTCAGACCATGCTTATGCTAAAAAAAGGCTGTTTTGTCTTCCTACTACACTTGATGATCTTAAAGGTTTTTTCCAACCTACACAACTCTGACTTAAGTCCTTTAGAAAGCCAGATTTTATGAAGTTTTACAACCACATCAGAAACCATGGAAAGGCACATATTTCCGTCTGAAGTAGCACACAATGCTTTGAACATCAGCAGCCATTCCAAGCAGGCATTCAGAGCCCAATAAAGGGCCCGTTGTCTTCCCTTGTTTGCTGGTGACCTGTGTGCTCTGTCTAGCTATACTTCTGCTACCACCATCTGACTTGACAGGGATCCACAACACTGCATTGATTATGCTTCAAGTGAACCACAAAACAATTTTCAGCCATCTAAAAACACAAATGGCACAGAGTTGTGCAATAACACAGGATGAAATGAAAATTGACAAATTTAAAAAATACTGGTATCAGAGACAGAATTCACATCATGTAATTGTGTTTTCTTGAAGTAGTTATCTGTACATAGTTATTTTAAAGTATGTCACCAACAGTCTTGAATCTTGTGCAAAGAAGGAAGTTTGCTGTGAGAAATTTTTATTTTTGCTTTATTTTTATTGACCAGGTCATCACATTTTTTGTTTCAAAGCTATTCAAAAGTTATTCTTGTGACAAATATCAGGGAAACTTATGCCATACAACTCGCTTATTATGGTGGGGGAAGATCACTCAGCATTTATACCTTTGGTACCCAGATTACTCCCCACTAATTCACCATCTGATTGGACAGATACCAAAAGATTCACTACAACAACAACAACCAAAAAAAAATAGCACAACTATAGAAAGATCAGACTGGCAACTTCAGTTGCCAACACTTCATCATAAGCTTCAGTGCTATTCTGTCTGGCCCAACAGCTGCCCAGGCAGGCCACCTGGAACAGCACAGCTACTCCCACAGTTATTCAGCACAGCTATCCACAGCATGTGCTGACTCTTGCAGGACACGGGAGCAGGGAGTAACTCCAAAAAGGCACTAAAGGAAGTGTAAACCTGCACAATCCCAAGCCTTAAGCAAGCAGTTACTCTACTAAACACACTTTTCTTCTTATTTAACACAAATTCACTACCTGAAAAAAAAAAATCCAAGGAAGTAATTGTTCTCAATTTTTCGCAATTTTGAAAATGCATGTTTTGAGAAATTTGAATTTGATATCCCAAGGAGCTTGTATTTCAAACCACCCCTCTAACAGCTCCCTATACAAATCACACTTGCAGAACTCATTCAGAAAATGCTGCTGCTGAAGTTGTATGACACATCTTCAGCCCCATTTTAACAGAATTACTCATTCCTTTGCTTTTACAGATAATATATGAACCATCATCCCAACTAACCACACAATTACACAACACTACTATTAAGGTATTGGGCCTAAAAATTCCACGGCTTTCTGAAATCCTTCTACATTGCACCATCTCCTTGGGAATACTCTGGTTCAGCCATTTAATATTAATATTGTTCTTTCTGCAACAGCAGCACCAATAAGCCTGTGCTCGAAAGCTCTGTTTATTTGCTGAAAGCTTTGCTGTACTCCTCCTTTTGATAACCACAGCTCTATCAAACAAAATGCTCTGCTTAGAGAAGAGCCTGACAAGCTGGAGCCAAGAGTAAACATTCAAGTTATGTGGAAGCCCCTAGAAACAGTGGAACATATCCAACAATCCATAATCATTGTCCACTGTCCCTGAAAAGTATAATTAGTCCATGTCCCACTGGTTCACCAACAGAGCAGGGGAAAAAAAAGGAGAGCATTGAAGTCAGAATGACTAAGCGTATGCAGCATTTGAAAGTCTACTTTTGTTGGTTGAAGGCTTGACAGAAGCAAT